TAACTGACAATCTTGTTTGTTATTGCCACTATCACCATCTTAAAAAATTTTGTATTATGCATGATTCCTCACACTACCACTACAAACACCGCATTAGTGCTGACAATAAAAAAAACACAACCTGAAATGTTTATCTTATGATTGCTTAGTGTTGTTCAATCAAATTAACTGATCATCTTAGCTATAAACATTTTTTTAAGAACATCTCATAATTTCCCGTATGATTATAGCTGTTACTGTTCACCACGCATACACATATCGTAGCTTCCACTAACCAATACTGAAATATTTTTTCATTATTTGTGTTTATCTTCCTTTTTACTTGGTATTTTTATTGCATTTTTTTGTTATTTCTGTGTTTCTTTTTTGGTTTTTTGTTGTTATTGTTTTTTTTTTTTTTTTTAAATATTTTATTTTTTTTTTATAATACTCCTTTTAAATGTACGATGAAATTAGATGCAATATTGTAGATATGTGCTGAAAATTCCACACTGTACCACAAGTACTGTTTCTGGAATAAAGCGAAATTGTTATTGTTATTGTTACTAAAATAATATTAGATAATAACCATCCGTTGAAATTCACTGAACACCAGAAAGGTGTTTAACAAAGAGCTCTATCAATTCGATCAGCACTCATTAAGTATTTTTATATGCCTCTAACTTTCAAAGGAGATCATGAAAGTTTAACTATTAAACAAAGAGTTAAAGCAACACTCAGCAAAACCCACTATCAGCTCAACTCATTTTCACACAGAAAACAAGAAATAAGTTGTCGTGTAAACACACACGGTATCCAAACGATTGAGTCGTATTCCACTGTACTTATCAGTGTACATGTATACGTGATCTCACGTACCTAAGGAGGGCCCATCAATCTCTGCAGGACTGATTCACCATTTATTAGGCTTTTTTGCGTTAACTGTCAATCAAATGTGTAACTGAATATGGCGTATATATTGATGGACATTGAATGAAAGTTCGCCTATGTAATTCTTTATTCCATGGGACGCACTCTAAGTTGTGCGTAAAATTATTCTGCCCAACAAATGTAGATATCAATTAGTGATACTTAAAATTTGGTTGTGAAAAATTTGCATCCGAGTATAGGATGGACTTTGTGTACTTATCTATCAATTACATTTCATCATCTATTTTGCATAAGAGTAACTCGTAAAACATAACTAATCCTTACAAACCAAAACTATAGAAAGTTAATCTGATTCTCGCTAGTGACTTGCTACAGGTTGGAGTTTCCTGAGTTCTAGTGAGAAGTCGTGACCAGTGAGGTCCAATTAGATGTCACGTGTGTGGATGGATGTCCCACCAACGACAATGGTTGGGGTCGCACTAAATCACGAATTGGTAGAAGTTAGAATTCACGAGCCATTGAATCGGGTCCCAGTGGCTGAATGGTATACGAGCTTGCCTTGTAACCGGAAGGTCCTGGGTTCGAAACCTGGTGGTGGGTGCGTACTGCCGAAGATTCCCAAACTAGGATGAAACAGCAGCTGTCCAGTACTCCCTGGTTTTCAATGGTTCTCTAACTGATATCAATCCATGATCAACTCGTAAAACATAACTAATCCTTACAAACCAAAACTATAGAAAGTATAATGAATCCACGAATGCATGGCAATATGAGCCTGAATACATTTCGGGCCATATATCTGAAATTAATAAATTTAAAGAGGTAAGAGATGTCTTAAGAATATTTTTGTCAATAGTATGTTTTAACAAGCATGAAGGAAAAATATTTTCTCCCACGGAATCAGTTCTCACTATATTTTTACAGCTTAATTGTTCCACACAGTCGAATATGTCTTGAGCCAAGGATGATTATGATGATATTCATGTTGATCCTAAGATTATTGTGAACTGAACTGTAAATATTTAGGCGCTTGTAGTATCCTTTAAATATAGTTATGTGTATAAATGTTTAAATTTACTCTTCTCAGTCTAACTGTTATACCATCCAGTTGACAGTGTGTTAAAAATTAGTCATTATATCCTACATATTAGACATCAGTGAGACTGACATAAAATGAGTACATCCTTTCAAAGCAATTCGACAGCCATTTTAGTTTGTTCTCCACATGATAGTAAGAAGACTAATACCTCTTGGTTGACAGTGCCTATTACTGAACGACTTAGGGCTTATCAGCTGAATGTACATGCATCCCATTAAATAATAGTATTATTAACAGTTGAAGACGATTCGTGAGCACAATTAGGTTCTGTCAAAAATGAATAGACAGTAAGCCAAAGCTTACTGAATTATCAGATAGCTAGAAGCCTGGTAGTGATTATGTGCCACCGAAGCACAAGGGCATTGATGCGAAGCTTAAACTCAATAAACAAGACTCCTCATGCTAAAAAACCACGAATTGTAGAAACTATTGTTAGACTGAGCAAATGACCGTAGTGGCATTAATCAATAAATCATAGATAAATGAAGTCCACTTGCCTGTACAATGAGTTTTACCACGATGGATAGATACCTAAGCGAATTAATGGGTGACTAGAGAAACTACTCATAAAAGTTGAAATTCCCGATATATTTCTCAAATTTCACTTCAAAACTAGTTTGATCATCATCATCATGATGGAAAATACTAATTTCATGAGTTACACTCATAAAAGACACGGAAACTCACATCGCAATAAACGTTAACTAATAGTCCAATAGCCTTAAATAATAAACACTTCCAGCACTTATATGTCACTAGTTGCAATATCTGTGATTACTTCATGAGTGTGTATTGTTGAAAGTAATAGGAATTCAGTAGATGTGTACACTTCAGTAAACAGAAGTTAGAAATAAACCATTGAGAGAGAGAACATATGTACAACCTCTGGTTTTTTCTAAGATATGTTATCTTAAATAGACATCCTGTTTATAAATTGGCAGTGTTATTGTCGTGATAAAAGTCTTCATAGAATAAAATAGAAAACAAACAAATTCATTTTGTTATCTACAGAATTCAGAAATAAGATGAACAGTTTAGTTGAGGACAAAATTCAGTATCAAACCTGTGAAGGCAAAATGAATTTCAAAATTGAGAATAATACAAACACTGACAGATAACAGTGGCAGACAGTTACTAATCACAATCATGTTTCATGTACACATGCTTGAATTTTTTAATTACTATTTATTATAGTGCAGAATGGATCACATATTGTGGTCTAGAATCTAAAGGAAACTCTGGTGAATTTTTATCTCGAAATGTTTAAATTACGAATGTGATTTATGGTATTACCCATTCGTCTAAGCTGTTAGCTAGGCATCAGGTAATTTAAACTGATTTGACTCTCTGATCTCAGTTATATTGGGCACACCACTGATAAACTCAACACCAAACGAGCAAAATCGCCGTCCGATGTTTAGCAGATCACTTCGAACTAGCTGGCTGGCCAGCACTACTGGTGAATGTGAGCGATTGGTATACAGCTACTCATTTCAAACAATGAGTAGTATACAGATCCACGTAAACACTTCGAGTAATGTCAGAAGGTTAGCTTATCATCTGAGAAATTAAGCTCTTGATGAAGCTGTTAGAATTAGCCGTTAGCAAGGATCTCTCTCAATAATTTCTTACGCTATTCTATTTAAAAATATCATAATTAGGGTTTACCTCACCATGGACAAACTATTAGTGTACTATAGCATTTTAGATACAAGTTATTAGTAATGGATGAAAATAATGTCAAAAATAACCTACAAGACTTTTATCGCTTCATTCCAAAAAAGCTGAAGAGTTTATTTACCTACAAAAAGTTTCTTTAGTAAAAATAAAGGAAAAGAGAATGCTAAAATATGTGGAATTTTAAGAAAGGACTTCTAAACAACTTCCACATCACAACAATCACATTCAATATTATTGACTTATTTGTTAAACATTTGAATAAAGCAGAAACAACAGTTTTTGCATTTTTTTTATTTCGTTTATTTCGTTGGCTTCTCACCAGCTGCTTGTTTACAGCCTAAATAAATTATTATCAAGTTGATGTACAGAAAAGTTTTAACATAGTTGCAAATTTTATATGAAGTCACTTGACAGGAAGTTCTGGACATGGTGAACAGTGCTCAAAAAATTACGCTTACATAGTTTTTACACAGTCAGTTCAGGTCTAAACAAAGTAAATGTATGCATACAATGGTAAAGAGCTGCATGATAAAGACAAGAGATGCATAAGATAATGAGTAATTAATAAATTAGGTGGCAATGTATCGAGTTCAGCTCAAATCATAGAAACAAGAGACTAGCAAAATTACACCATATCGAACGTTGGAGGAAAGTCTGAAGTTAAAGACTAGGATTACATAATCAAGTGAAAGAGCGAATGAAGATATCCAGTTACCAGGCCGTGCAAGGATTCCTTTTGAACACATAAATTGGGTTTCAGGCGCTTTATAGAGATCGCCTTGGCAAACTTCTGGGGAATCTAGCTTTGTGTCTGATGGTAATTTTAAACGATTTGAGATTTCTACCTATTGATCCGACCCGTATTAAGGAGATGCCTGGTAACAGCACTATTGTAGGCATTTGTCCCTTTGGGACGCAGTCTTTTCGGCATATGTTGAGAAGAGTGGATATGTGCCCTTCTACTTCATGTTCTCCTAATGTTACACATTATGAATTCTTTCTTTCGGCTAGCACCACTTAATTGGTAAATCAGCTAACACTAGTTTTTAATATTACAAGGTTTGCTCATATATTGTTGTTTGTTATAACATTTAACACAGGAAAATCAAAACGCATATTGACGGTAAATCTAGATTGAGTAATCCTTACTCGCAAAGTATCGTGAACAAACAATTAAAGTGCTTTTAAAAGCTTATTTGTATAATACTTATCAGTGAAAATATTCACTTAAGTAATTGAGATTTCTAAACACTATTTTATAAACATGTAATTCTAAAGTGCACTTAATGTAAAGCGAATGCAATCACTATATAGTCTCTTATGTGTTTTAGATGTAGTAATTACACGAAATCGCTTCTTTGATGAGTGTTGTCTTTCAAACAAATAGTCAGGATATTTGCTAATATAAATATCCATAGTTTTCATCAATGAGATACTGTTATCATCAGTCTAATATGAGTAATGCATTAAATGTATTGTTTATTGTATTTATAATAACTGTTGCTCAGATTCGTAAGTTTATCTTCAACTTTGATAAAGATTAATTGTGCGCGTTGATAATTTATTCAAAATAAAAATAATAAGAGTGAACATATGCTTTCGGTTAATCATTCTTTTTAAGGTGAAATTAGTTTAAGCAGAAGAAAAGGGTACGACATCAAAAGAAATGTCTGAAATAAAAGTTTCTCAAAGAAACAGTATAGAAGTAAGGCAAAAAAATCGGGATTCTTACTCAGTCTATTGACATAATACTTTCGTATTCGTTATTATATTCACGCATTCCTTTTCTCTCCACTTAACTGTATTCTTCATTACTTAGTAATTGTCCGTTTATAGTACTTCTGTGTTCATACGTTTTATATCCGTTTGCATTACCAATGGAATAGAGGACTTCAGGTTTGAGCTTGGGAATTTCTAAAGCATTCTGTGTCATTTCTATGTGGGGAAGCTGCTAGCCTTACACCCAACCTTCCTTCTTTTCCTGGTTTCTTTCCGGTTAAGAGAGGTTTAGAAGTGCATTGACATGATATCGAACCCAAAAACACATTCGCGATGGGCATTCTACCACTGTACCACTGACGCAGTGTTTACGCTACATTACCATTCTTATTTTGCTGTTATTTTACACCCTGTGAATCTGTATCTAGTATTTTGCACTTGTTTGTTTATTCCTGTGTAGTAGTATCCACCTAGTCTCTCACATCACCGACTACAACTCATACCCTGAAATATGTATTTTCGTTGATTATCACTACGTAGACAGACAGGTGAATTATTCGATTTCATGTTATCTAATGGTTTTATTCATTAAGACGTTTTAGAAAAATTATAGAGATATTCAAAGTTAAATCATTTACAATAAATATTTCCTAAAGAAATAAAATAATTTCCTTTTTCCGTTAACATTTTTCTAAAAATTCTAATTTAGACATTTATAACTGGAAGTATTTACACATATAGTAGTAAAATATATTTCATCAGCTCTACTCAACAAATCGCTGGTTGAAAATACTACATATCACAGAGGATGTAGGCGACAAGCAGGTTTATTACCAATGATTAGGAAAGAAAATGTGTTCTAACATCTAAAACGAGGTATAAGTACATACAGACTGGTCAGTATTCAGGCTGAATGGCATCAGGAAGTTTCTGATGCAATTCCGTATCTGCTTTCACTACAGTCCTATTACTGGAACCCTGCAAAATAATATTCTTTTCCAAAAGAACTAGCCGACATTCATTTATTATGTAAGATAATGCGTTCTCCTTATTTTTTTCGAACCTAATATTTGTATGATATTGTATTATTTCATCACCAAAGAAGTTATTCATGTGGATGTTAACAGTTTTTTTTCATTGATAGCATATTAAACAACTTCCTCTGTTAACTAGAGATAAATAGTGTGGCTCTGTTAAAAACCAGATTCATCACCTTATTACTTCAGATAATGGCAAAAAGATAAGAGAAAATATTATTATTGCCTTGGTTTCCGAGTAGAATACAGGGCTTCAACAATTCTTCTCCATTTTTTCCTGTTATCTACACTCCTCTTTATTGGATTTCACGATAACCCATAGACCCTCATCTCACCCCATAACAACCTCCTCCATGTCACTGTCGGACCCTATCGCAACTCATCTTTTCCCATTCAGGTTCCCCTCAAGAGTAGGTCTAAAGCTCATTGTCACCCAGCGTTTGCCCTCTATTTCCTTCCACATATTTGTTGAACGACAATTTCTTGACTTGTTCTCTTCAAGTGTTTCTTGCCACTAATTCTTTCTGATCTTGCATCTGATCTTCAGTAAAGAGTCAGAGATGGATGCTATTGATAAAAGTCTGCAACTAGATGTTTTAAATGGTTTTCGTGATGAACAAGCCAAGTTTCTTACCCACATAATTTGTTTTTTCTAAATATTGTTGTTGTGCCTTGAAGTCTCTCTAATGACTGGAGTGATTTTCCGCAGCAGCGTTGCTAGCCCCATCCCCCACCTTCCCTCTTTTTCCGGGCTTAGCACCGACTAGAAAACTAGCGAATCAGCGAGTTTAGTGTTTTCATGTCATGCATTATTGGCGGTACAAACTAAGTTATTATGTCACACATTACATCGGTCCAAACTTTCGGACTAGTTCATAAATGTCAGGCTTATACATATATTTCCATTTTTTGTGGTTTAGATAATGTTGAAAGTGGCTGTAAGTTTATTCATTATCAGTTAACTGAAATAATTTACGCGTCTTCTTTTTTTAACATTATGGCTTCATAAAAGTAATTTTATGCTTTTTTATGATTTCTAAATTATTATTCTTCAGGGATACCTTTTGGCATTAATGAATATATCACTTTGCCAATATCAATACTCTTTACTCGTGGTTAACACAGTGATGCTATAGAATACAGAAACTGAATCTGAAAACGCAAATTTACTACTCATGATAAATAAAGCTATGCTTGAACGTGACAAATTACCGAACTCACCGTCATTGGCTAAATTTTTTGTATAAAGCTATATAATTATAGTAAGGCCTGAAGAAGATCTAATTGAAAACCACAGTACTATTCGCTTATATGTCTTGTTCCTGAACATTATTAATAGTAATATTTAGAGATTTAAAATCTTCACGAAGCATTAAAAAATTGTATATTTTTTTCCACATAAGCGGTTTCAACGTGTAAACGTTATACGTTTTAATAACAAATTAACTTGAAGGGATACATGCACAGGATTGAATTATAAATCATTTGGCTAGCCGGCCTGAAAGTTTACATTAATAAATGTTTAGAAACATCCTGTTACTGAAGCCGTATCTATTAAAGGTGTCCAGTTAACTTTGGAATTCAGTCATGAGCTTAGATGATTGTTTAAACTACACGGATAACTACACATAAATTATATGATCAATTTTTAGTGAAGTTACGTTAATTATTAACATTTCATTCATATGGTATTATTAAAGGGAGCTAGGACGCATAGCAGCAGTCCTTCAGTGCGTAAAATGGAGGCAAAATATCTTGTAGCCATGTTTAAAAGAAGATGGGTCTCCATGAAACTTTTCAAAAGACAACTACCTTCAACCCAACTAACGAAATCAGAAGTCTCTAATTAGATTACAAATTAAATTGTCCTGCCGTATTTAATGAACTCTGCTGAAATCACTGAGAGACTATTCAAACCTTTTGCAATTGATTTCGCCTGTAAACCATCATAAACCACTTCACACTTGACTGTGTGTCAACCAAAAGACTCAACAGTTAAAGAAGACAAAATATACATCATTTACAAGATAAAGTTCAAAAAATGTGGAAAACATTATGTCGGTCAAAGTGAATGCCCTCTTCATGTCTGCATCTATGAATATAAACTATCAATCAGAGGATACGAAATCCACAATCCATCATATCAACGCATGTAGAAAACAATGGATACCGATTCTATTGGGATAGTGTTCAAATCTTAGACAGAGGAATCAACAAAAATGTAAAAACATTTCTAGAAATCTGGTATTCAGGTTCACCGTCAATCAACAAACACACTGACACTGACAGGATTTACCAGTCTGTTTGAAGAAAATCAGACGAAAAAAAAGGTAGAAATTCGGGTCAAGAAAACAATCGATACGAACACAGGAAGACTAGAGGATGAAGACAATCCACAAAACAAGCCTAATCATGTTGAAGGTTACCAGGAGGAATGATTAATGAACTGCTAGAGAGTTTTAAAAGTTGAAGATGTTGTCTAGTAAGACTGTTAAGCTCAGACAGCACAACTACTTTAGAATAAAACAAAACATATTGAGAATTTTCGCTCATATGGTTAGAATAAAATTCTGTTTAAATAATGTAAATTTATATGATAAAGTATTTTAGTCACATGGAATTGGAAATCTATTTCACTGACTACAAAACGTGACTGTGTATAGTTGATAAAATGTCAGCAATTAATACCAAATGCAATCTAGTTTCAGATATACTATGTTTGATATGAGTGAAAGTAAAAAAAATGGCCTGTATATGACTTACGAAAAGGACCAGTATATAGTTGCATAAGACTCCTTATTGTAAAAATATCCATTCACATTATTATTATTTTCTGGGGTTCCGAATAGAACATAGGGCTTCAACAACACATCTCAACTTTCTTCTATTTTCTTTCATCCTCTTCAGCTGGTCAGGCCCACGATCGCCAATAATCTCTCACCACCTCCTACCCAACACACGACCTATCGCATGTCAACCCCTCACTGACGACAAATTCGTCGCTTCCCATCGGCTTTCCCCTAGAGCAATGGCCTGTTTTGAGCACGATATCATTCGATGGCCTCCACAGTGACGTATGCTCGATCAATCCATCTCCATTTTATCCTACATCAACACTTGATTGGTTTGTTCATCGCCAAAGTTTCTTGTTGCTAATTCTTTCTGGCCAGCTGGCCGGTCATTCGATCTTCACTATGGAGCCAGCGAAGCTGGAAGGTGTTAATAAAGGTCTACAACCTGTTGGAAATCCTTTTCGTGACATGCAGTGCAAGTTTCTGACCCGTAAAGAAGAGCTGACTGACTCACTGACTTCACATATGTGTTGAATAGAATCCGAATCTTGTTCTTTATGCTGGCTGACTGAGTGTAGCAGAAGATTTCCAAACATTTTTTTTTATTTTTCACTGATTTTATAGTGGGTAGTTTGGGGCCTAAAAAAAGTAAGAAATTTTTTCGTATAATACTTATTACCGTAACTTCGAAGTAGTACCAGTTAATTTTATTATAATTCCTTAATTTTTGGTTTTGGTTTTTTTTGGCCCTTCCCCTTAATTCCAACCAAGGCTGCTCTCACCACACCAGTTGACATTTTATTTCTCGTATCTATGCATTTTAGTCATATAATCAGTAGAGCATCTTTATAAACCCCTACATTTTGAAAGTGAGAATCGCAGGTTAAATCCTTAGACAGAACATGATTTTCTCTGTGTGATATACACATGCTTTGCTCGTGAATGCAATGTAACTACCGGTGCTTCGTATCATTTGCTAGCTAACACATGATACATTAAAAGATTCCACCCAATTGTGGACATAACTATAATGTCAAGTGAATTGTTGACTAAATCGCACTCATGACTGACAGATTTTGATCAGATATCTAAAACAGGTGATTCAGCCATTAACCGTTCTGTGGTTCGTTAGACTGAAGTCATTCTTGTACCTAGGTAAAACATCCGTCTCGTACTACTGATTTACACTATTTTTGCTAATACAGCAAATTCAATGAAATCTAAAACGCCTGACTGATAGTCTGCCTTTAGGTCTCAGTTTTGTAGGTATGAAACAAACACCCAGTGGTCATATGACTAACGGATTACTGAAGCATAACTTCTACAGTTAATGAAATGAAACTATCATTTAACAATCTATCAGAGAGACATGGAATTTTCCAATATCTCTTATTCTTTAAATTGTGAGTAAAGTGTATGTCATTTTTTTTGTAAGAAATCTCAAATGGCGATTGACGTCGATTAATTAACCAAACATTTGAGTTATGCTTAAATTCTAAAAACACAGGATTTTCCTATACTATTATACTATGTTATGCGTAAAATATGGAAATATAATATACAAACCCTGAATTGTGAGGTGTGTGTGGCTGATTGCCATAGAATGTCAATAATAAGAATCCTCCATCCAATCAAACAAAAGCCCTACAAAACCAATACTTGAAAATAAGAAATACGGCAAATCAGTTTCATGGACGATCCATGTGTAGAAAACTAGTAGTGCGATAATGCCAGACAAGGAAAAAAGGAATTTGAATAAACAATGTTCAGCATAGAGGGGCATTTAGATATATAACAATAACAATTTGCTTTATATTAAAACAGTACTTGTGATACAGAATGGAATTCTCAGCACATACTGCAGAGATTATTTAACTATAGGGAAGAAAACACCACATCTAACAGTATATTACTACATTGAGTTAAATCTCAATAGCGAACTATGTGAGTCATGAAGTACTCATACTACTTAATAATGTTAAGTAGTATAAAGTTGAACACAAAAATGAATAAAAAAGGCCAGATGAATGGAATGTTCGCTTTTAGTAAACAACATAGTAAACAACCACAACATAATCCATAAATGTAAGATCTGTGAATGTGTCATTCACTGCTTATTGTTCTCTCCGCTATTATTCAGTAAGAGGTGATAGAAATTTAAGTCGTGATGATGTGAACATTCATGGAAATTGTCCATTTTGTTATACGACAAGAAATATAAATCTCGAATGTTTTTGTAAGACACTTCTTTTGATTTGAAACCTGAAAGAAGCCGCTCAGCAAAGTTAAGGTTTCGTTTCTTCATGTCTCATTATCTTGAAATTGTCAAAGAAAGTAAAGTTGGTCGATTCTCTCTTACAACATCACTATAGCTACCTACACAATTATAACAACAGAAGGCAAGAGTCAGGTAACATATCACTTATTAAGGAAATTAACTGATATATATATATATATATATATATATATATATATATATATATATATACATGTACATTATTATAGATTATTGTTAGCAGACAACACAGTCTTCCAATTAGTTGTTTCTCACTGAAAGTTAATCTTTAATCTGCTTGTGGCCGTTTCTTGAATGTCAGATCATCTATCTGCTAATTGTATCCGCCTACGCAAAGTCAGCTGTGATTGCTTATTGAGTCAGTCTTTGTTCTTGTATCTCACATGACCAATATTTGCGACGTAAACCTTGACTTTAATTACTGTCCGTCAATTCTGGCTAGCAGACAGCTCTCACCACACATTGATTTTATCATTGTGTTATTCCCATTTCCTTAGGTTTCAAGTAGAATATGGGACGACTTCAGCAGAATACCTCCATATATCCCTGTTTTCCACAGCCTTTCATACAGCCTTTCATGTCTGGTCGTCATACGATCTCCACCACCTCAACCTTGAACCTCGACCAAACTCGTCGTTTCACATCTAGTTTCTACTCGAATGTTTGGCACACGATGTTACTCAGCGCTTTCCTCAGTGTATGTCCAATTCATCTAAGCTAACAAAAATAAGCAAGAAACTGGTTCATTAAGATTAGTCAACTTTATAGCTAAAATAACATGTCATCACTTATTTTAGATACGCTGAAATTACAATCAAAGATGAGTGAAAATATGACTAGTATAATCTACAAACATCATAGCTATCAATCAGATCCGCTATTAGCCAGCAGTGAAAATCGATGTCAAGCACCAATATATTCACTGAGTTCCATGTTAAGCTAATATGTCTATCACGGATACTTTATTGTCTAATTTCCACTACACCGAACAACAAAGCTGTGAGAATATCTAATCTGTGTAATATCTATGTAAATTTGGTCATATACACTGTATGATGTGAGAAAGTCTCTTAAGTGTTCAGGATGGATAACTTCATATGAAAGAAATTTTTCGTCTCAGTGATGGACTCTGTTTCATACCATCACGGTTGAAATTTATTTTGTCAAAAACACACAGTGTTATACAGTAATATACTGATGATCACGTTCCGAACACAATTCATCACTGCTCGTAATCATATGAAAATACTCAAACAACTTTCTTGCTTCGTTTATATACATTAGTAAAGATGGGTTAGACGTTTAAATAAAATCAGCTGGTCGGGTGTGAGGACAAATACTCGCCGAAGACATTGGCTAGCGGTCGCGCTATGTCGGGAATTGGCAGAAGTTAGAATTCGTGGGCCATTGGATCGGGTCCCATTGGCTTAATGGTATACGAGCTCGCCTTGTAACCGGAAGGTCCTGGGTTCGAATCCCGGTGGGTGCGTACTGCTGAAGAGTCCCAAACTAGGACGAAACAGCTGTCCAGTACTCCCAGGTTTCCCAATGGTTCTCTAACTAATGTCAGCTCATGATGAAATCCTGAAACCAATCAAATCCCTACAAACCAACACTTGAAAATCAATATAAGACTTGTGTGAAACAGAGTGGAAAATAAAGCACATTTGGAAATACTAATATGAGTGTTATCAATGAAATACAATAGGATGGGAAATAGCTCACTCAGACATAGGTTCTATAGGCTAAAGGATCATTATACAAAATAATATAATTTACAAAATACCTTGCAATAATTGTGAGTCAGGTCAACTACATAGGTCAAACTAGTAGATAAGGGGTAGTGAGATCATCAGAGCATAATAATTTAGCTAAGATTAGAATGCTTGATTCCACGAAGATAAGTTATTCAAGAAAAAGCTCAGCACTAAACTATACTGCATATATTGACACACATCCACACAAAATAGGGTGGGAGAGGGTCAAAATTCTAAGAAGTAAAACAAGTAGGTGAAGAGACAGATTGATTACTGAATCCTGGTTCATCGAGTCTACACCCAACACTTGCAATAGAAGTCACTCGTGCAAATAACAGAGATATGTAAGATATGATTACCACCAGTCAAATAAGAAGAGGGTAATAAATAATCTTAAAATATATTTCAATCCACATTACAACATTCTGACAAATTATTTATTTTACTATAAGAACATCTTATTGACTGACAACACTTGTATTATTTCTCATCCTATTGTATTTCATTGATAACACTAATATTATTTCCGAATGTGTTTTATTCTCCATTCTGTTTCACACAAGTCTTATATTGATTTTATTTAAACGTCTAACCCATCTTTACTAATGTATATAAACGAAGCAAGAAAGTTGTTTGAGTATTTTCATATGATTACGAGCAGTGATGAATTGTGTTCGGAACGTGATCACCAGTATATTACCGTATAACACTGTGAGATTTTATAGAAATAAAGTTTTATCCATAATGGGGTTATACTGTACCACAGTGCCCAAAATCTATTTATATAACTCTGTTTTATACTTTGCATTACTTTGGTCTAGAGTGGTCATGATATGATCTCAGAAAAACATCAGATGTCTACTGTTCTGCACTGAATTTTCAACTTCTCTCTATCTTCAATGTTTATGCCTTATGTCCTCCTGTTCAGCATTATTTATGGCATTCAGAAATCAGTAAGTTTCTATTAACTGCATCATTTACTCTATTGCGTAACAATGGTACCATTTTCTTTTTCATTCCCTTATTATTTTCAAGACTTTGTTTGTATTAATTCGATTATGGATTGGTATCAGTTAGGAAGGCATTAGAGACAAGAAAGTGTTGAACATCAGTTCCTCTTAGTTTGCAAATCTTCAGCAGTGCATACCAATTAGGGGTCGGACCCAGGACCTTTTTTAGGACAAGGAAACCTCGTAGACCATTCAGTCACTAGGACCTGATTGAATGGCCTATGAATTCCAACTTATACCAATCTGTGAATTTAGCTTGTCCACTAGCCAATTTCATCGGCGAGAATTCGTCCTCACGTTTCACTTGATGGCTCCCACTGGTCCAGATTTCTCACCAGAACTCCACTACTCCCTAGTTATCAATGATTCTCTAACTGACATCAATTCGTGAACAGACTTGAATGAAACAAGTTCTTTATTACTTTGAATCAAAGTTTAAACAAGCTACTGCTCAACATTTCATTTGGAATAAAACACAAATATTTATTATGTCATTGTTTCGAATGTTCAGAAATGATTTTACATCGATTATTTCCCTGAGTACTATTTTTCAACACATGAGTACATTGGGACATGACATTTCTCCGAGCGCAATTCAACTCATCAAAGCTAATGTTTGAAAAATTAAGATATAGTAAACTGAAATTTGGTCTTTTAGAAAACCAAGATTTCGATGTAAACTGCTGACACATGCATCTGTCCTGAAGTAGTCAAACAAGTTAACCCACGTGACCAAACACTAACTTTTCAACAGATATTTTCTTCCTGCATAGTTTAGTCATATATTAGTTTCATTCCTTCAGAAAAATTTGCTTCCCAGTAGGTGTTTTTTTCCGGAATTGAACGACTGAGTATCATTCAAGTCAGTCATTGGCATTCCTAATGTTTACTTTAGTCGTAATTCTTAGTCGCTACTGTGTTTAACTGGCGAATTGCGATGCTGATACACAATATTATGTCCATGTCTTTGTAATATAAATTCTAATATCTAAACAAGAGTACATTGCAGAACTTGGACAAAATCCAATATGTAGTGGGAAGAAAATTTCCTTTTCGACAAAGTCATGTACAGCCTAGTTGATGACTTCGTGGAAAAGAAAATTTTCTTCCCAATACTCACCTTTTGTTTTCCACACTTACTAATTTGACATTTGACCGGAGATAATTCTGACACTTTCTCATACATTTGATACAAAACCCAATATCTAAAAAAATCCTAATGTCCTAATAATAGTATGATACTTTCAGAGGAAACATCCTTTTTTGTGAAACATCTTATCGTCAAGCAATAAAGTTATAAAAGTGCTTCACTCAGATTACCGTGATTTTTATATATGCTGATATAAGAGCCAGTAATAGATATATATATATATATAAATATAAATTTTCATATCAACAAGAGAACCAGTTTTTGTGATCCCATCATAAGGTGAAGATTTACGAAATTCATGACCTCTATCCTCTGTGATTTTGATGAGAAATATATCATATTACTCAATCAGTAGTACTTCCATACAAAGAAGGAGCGTCTCAAACCTTACAGAGAATTCAGAACAATTCAAGAATAAAAGTGGTATTCACACCCACAAACTCAATTAGAATCAAGCTTGGTCGGATAAAGGTTCAATCCTGCGGCGCAAATTAAACAAAACAATTTAGTTTATCTAATACTTAGCAATGACTGCCAAGTCAAACACACAGATCAGAGTAGTAGAACGAAGTCAGTTAAACTAGTAGAGCATAAAAACGTAGATTAGTCTACCCTAATAAGATAAGAAATTCGGCTATAACACTACATGCAATTACACACAACCTTACAGTAGGATGGAATAAAATGACAGTTTTGATTTTGATTTTTTTTTTGATTTTTTTTTGATTTTTGATTTACAGCTTGATTCCATACTGTATTTTTGATACAAGTATGGAATTTTCAGCATGGATATCGGTAGCCCAAATTTTGCAGGCCAACCATAGATATCAGGTGTGCGCCGGCGTGGGCTCGAACCCCAGACCATGTGCATGGTCAGCGAGAGTCCTAACCACTGTGCCACCGACGCACAATCTAATGTAAAATGGTGGAGACAAGGTTTGATAAAGGAAACTTTGTAATTCAAGTTGACTGCAAACACGCGTAATAGGAATGATTCAACACCCATCCAGTCGGACAACTGAAAAATTCCACTACCCCTACGACAAACATGAAGGAATAAATAAAACTGTAATACTCACATTTCGAAGTCGTGTGATTGTAAACATTAAATTGTGTTCAAAATGTCGACATCCAGTAAATAATAATATTGTTTCACTGACTGTGTGATATATCTAATAAACATATTAATAATGAGTTATATTATTCTGTCAAACCAACTCTATATCTCTCTGATAATTTTCATTATTTTTAGGTCACTAGGAGAGAGATTCAGGCAAGAACGATGTTTTGTCTAAGATATATCCATTATGCTCTATGTTTTTCCACAGACTGTTAGTAAATTTCAACCTCAAACAATAGTTATAAGTATTTCCTTTTGCAAAGGTACAAAAAGCCTGGTGATACACAGTCATTTAAATGGTATGCCTCCAAAGCCTCAGGATGGTCGGGGTGGGTGTCTTGCGCTGGGGGTTGGCCACCCCTCCGCACACCTCTTGAAATGCTCCCATATGACCGTGCGTCTTACATAGCCTCTCCTGAGGAAGTCCTACTCACTGCCTTCACGTGGCGGAGGTGTTTCTCACTAAAGCGAGAGGGCGAAATCGGATGCCCGGCGCTCTCCACCGGGTTGACTGTCCATTGGATGACAGTCTAGGGGAGATGGCTAAACCCTGATTCCATACCTTCAACGACTGGCGTATGAAGCTCACCGGAGCTCACTGGCAGACGTATGGACAAAGGGCTTTTTGGATGTCCTGGATGTCTGGCCCCATTCAAAAAGGCGTATGAACCGAACTCCGGTCACCGGCTGCCAATGGATAGTGGACTCCCTACTCCACTCCTACTGCCTTGTAGGTCACACTTGGCTGTGTAAAGGCTACAGCTGCACTCTCAAACAAAAGGCCGAGCGATTCTGGGGACATCACTCGTACTAAATTCCCAAGAAACTTCATGAACTCGTTCATGAAGCCGGCTCATCCTCCCGTAGGAGATAGCCGAAGTAAAGTAAGTAAGTATTTAAATGGTATCTAGAAGGCTTGGAATAAACGACTTTAATTACGGTCAAGGAACCAGTAGGTGATATCATTTAGGTTGGCAGGTTTCTTTTCCATAGTAGATTGCATAAAGCAATCCAACTTTGTCCAAATAACTTAGATTAGAACGAAACAGAATGAAATTATTTTGGTTACTATTTGGGTAATAACATTCACAGCTCTTTTGGATCATACTGCTGTGAAAGTAGTTAAATTTTAACGAACATTCCTAACTAAAACTGATTTTCAGTATTAATAAAGGTAATAAAGTGAGTGTCAGAGAACACTTACTAACTGGCTGCATTATCTTTATATTATTTTACTGGAAGTCATGAGAAACACAAGATTAAATAGATTTACTGTCTACAAATGTGGTCATTTTATTTGAAATGCTTAGCTAAATATATTTCCTGACGATATAAAACTTATGGTGAAATGTATTATAACCCAAGATAATGTTATGAACCACATTTAAGTTTCCAAGTGCTGTTTTGCAGGAATTTGACTGATTTCAAGACTGGTCGAGAAATGATTACAGTTAGAGAACTACTGAATACCAGAAAGTAGCAATTAATAGTGTTCTCTGAGCTGGTTGGTTTAAGTGCAGAGCTTTCGTCATCTTTCTGGACGACATCTTCAGCGCAGTATTTAGCATAAAGTCAAATGATTTAAAATCTCCATGAATGAGGATACAATTGCGTCTCCTGGTGACCATATGTATTGCCTGTTTTCCATTGATTGGGATTTTAAGCTTTCTGCAACTAAACCAACCAGCTCAGAGAACACTATTAATTGTAAATCATCCACCTGAGTTACAAATCTTTTCTATTACCAGAGAGTAGTGAATAACTATTTCGTCCATGTACAGATAGAACCCAAGACTTCTGAGTGACAACGCAAGCTCGTAGGCCATTAAGCCATTGGGATGGAATCCAACTGTCCACCCCCACCTGAATTTTGATAGTTCGCAATTTCTAGCAAGGGCGTTCAAGTTTAATTGCTGAACTGCTCAAGGTTCAGGTGCAATAGAGTTTTATGCCTGGTGTGATTACACAGAAAACCCTAAGATTAATAGTCGGTAGTTAAATAAGCGGCTTATTTAGCAGAGAGAAGCTGTGACGCGGACCAGTATCAATCAGCTTTCATTTACTTGATTTTTAGGCTGCCTACTAATAACTTGTTATATTGTCTCACATCAGCCAATGAATAGCTAAATAATAACGAAATTTATTACCTAAGATAACTTTCTATGAATTATTACAATTAGTCAAATCTTGTGAAAATTTCTTCCCTTCTATTTCCACCTTTTTAATTACAGAGATCTAGCACGTCACTGTTTTACAAGCGTTGGTACTTGGATGGTACTTTTAGGATGAATAAACTTGACCTTCTAATGCCACAATATAAATTAGCATAACTCGATGTCATTCTGCTTTTTTTGTTTTGAAAACAGTTATACTTAAAAAGTGTAATAAATGTTTCTTAACTGAGTACACTGATTTTCCAGTTTATTTATTACTATTATTATTATTATTATTGACAATGATATTCTTTCGAATTCCTAGTAGAACAACAAGACTTCAATTGCATATGTCCATTTCAACCTTTTTTCTTCAGATATTTTAAGCTGACTTTGCAATCGCCCTCCGACAACCAACCTACTCTGTTGCATTCTAGCTCCATTTGGGGATCTGACAAGCAATGTCACTCAAGAGTCCCTTTGGCTCATATCAACCAAACATATTCGGCAATATGCTGGTTTGCCGCCAGAGTTTCTTGTTGCCCATCTTCTCCTATCATCCATCTGATCTTCATTATGCAGCGAAGCCAAATGGGGATGAAAGTCTGTTGTAGCCGTAGGATTGTTGTTGGCGTTGGTGTTGCAGTAGTGGTGTAAGTCTTGGTGTAGCAGCAATAAGACTGGTGTTGATGTTGCAGTGTTGCGATTAACATTCACGACTTTCATTATGCCCTATACAAATAGGTAAGATAGGTCTAATGCATGAAGTATCACTAGCAAGGTCTTCTATTTAACTGTCATTCAACTTGTAGCATAACATAACTTCCGATCCTGAGTTGTCTGACTTTTACTGTTAGTCTGTTAATCACTTATTGTTTGTTAGCTAATCATACCGTCTCGTTGACCACTGTGAAATAGGTGGAGCGACAATTCTATTCAAAATTTATTTTCTACAATTTTATCGCTTAAGACTATGAGTCACACTTCGACACTCTTCTAATAAAACTATCTTAAAATTGTAGTATTAAAGTCTGTATCATATATGCCGATTTCCTATATGAATATTGATGAATTTCAATGCGTTTTTACACTGGGAACTTAATCTATAGAAGTGAATGTAAACAGATAAAAAGTTTAGTTAAAACGTGATGGAATCAGAACCAATGAATAGGACTGATTTAGTCTTACTTGTCTTATTACAAAATATTTGACAGTCTCCATTACCTTATGTCCCTAAGATCTCTGCGAATCACCAGGTAGCTTTGATGTGTCATACTATAATCACCAACTCCATTAATGACTAAAATCACCATTATATATGTCTAAACCAAGTTCACTTTAAACAGATAGAAAAAAATTATGGCATTTGGTATTCGTTACTCTAAAAGTTCTATTTACATTTCTCAGTGAATGATAAACAAAATGATACTTTTGGTTTCACTGACGTTTCGCTATTTAATACTGCTGCTAATAGCTTTACCAAAGTAGTATCATTAAACCACAATTTACAAAGTCCATTCAGCTTATATACAACAATTTAGTCAGCCTCCATTAGCATGGAGTAATTTTTATGTTGTCAATTTGACATGGGCCTTAACAGTCGTTATTCCATAAGGATTGAAAACATCATACGATAACAGAAAAGTAGTCAATAAGGACAACATAAGAGTTTTCTTAAAAACATTAAAAACGCACACTACAAAGCAACCTTGTCCATGTAAGAGATCAGATCCCTAAGGATTCTCAATCTAACTGTGTGAAAAAATAAAATACCTTGAATATCATGCCATATACATAGGACAGACATCCTGAGAAATCAAAATCAGAGGATGAGCGTCTTTTCGACCACTGAGAAATCCAATTGGTTTAGAACAGATTGAAGAACCATCAGAAGCACTTCATATAAAATGGAATCCAAGTTGTCTGAATAGGAATGATGGACTAAAATAGATTTTAACCTGGTCGCAACACCTCCCTCCTCTATGAAGTGACAAAATCAACACGAATGTCATAAGCAATTTCATTATGTAAACATAAGCTGCTTTTATATTCTTATGCACTTATCAAATTGAACAATCTCCTCTCGGTTTTGCTATCTTTACTGAGTGGCCAACTTCACAACGTAAAAATGACTAAGTTGTTATATATGGACTGAGAATCTGTAAATTCTGCTTTAATAATACTACAGTATTAGCAGCAGCAGCAGCATCGAACAGCGAAACATCAGTTAAGCCGACAATATCGTTTTGTTTTTCATTCATTGGGAAGTAGAAACAGAACTTTTATAATAATAAAAATCACCATTAATATTAATCCTAATGTTCAGGTTGAAAACTGTGTAACTTTCATGCCAATTCATATTACACAATCCATTAGCAACCTTTAACAATTAGAACATATTACCTTGTAATATGCAAAAAGGCTAACAGTACTGGGTTTCTAGAATTGTTATATATTTTAAATAAAAATCCAGTTCTCATTACATGCTATTTATTTATTATTGACACATATTTCGGCGTAAAATACTGTTTTCGGCCTAGCGGTCTCATTGACTCAATCAAAATTTAGCTGAAACGATTAGATGGATAATATTTTTGCTAAATTCTTCATATTCAGGAAACAGTGTCTGAAGAGTAACCTGGGCAGATTAATGAGAAAAAAAACAGAAAAAAGGAACAATTGAGATTCTGTTGGTTTAAAAATGAATAGAAAAACCACAATCTCTTCGTTTTTAGCAACTTTTCTACATCAAACAATTGCTGACACTTTAGAAATACCAAGTGGCTATAAAGCTCCGGAATACCAGACATCAGTACCAAGATATTTCACTTTTTCTGCGTCACATATCTTCAGAAGATATTCTCAGCATCAAAAAAACGAAAATTATCTCGGTACATTGTTGGAAATCCCACATCAAAGTCAGATTTACATCTGTTTCTGTGTTGATCGTTGTGATATCGGAAGTGTAAATTTAAAGGATTGTAGATGTCTTAGTCTTTTCACTATGAGTTAAGCTATCCACATGATTACTAGATAAGGCTTTTGAAACCAGTTGTTTTTAGCACTGGCCATTTGTATAACATTTAAATTCTTCATTTCTATAGTATAAAGCAAGTTTACAGTACTGGTTTACACATAATAAGCAAAAGCATGAATTTTCAATACATACTTTTAGCCATACTCAGAAATAAATTTTCTTTTCACTTCAATGCCTCATTTCTTTTATCTCCGCTCAAAGAGCTAGCTATCAGTGCGAAATGTACATTTCAAATCATTCAACAAAAAGTACTATGTTGTCATTTGGTAGACAAAGACTAGCAGTGGAATCCAGGATTCACGTCTGCTGTTATTTGGATCTCGTCGGCTAGATCTACTAGGATACCTAATGAGTGATGATTTTCCTGCTGAGTTTTGAACCTAACACTTATCGTACTAATGAAAGTGTTTTGAAAAATATATTTACACGAATAACTGTTAGCATGTGGCTAAACAGTATTACTAGGAAGTCAATGGTACAACTCTGCTTACAAAAAGAAACTGACTTAATACTATACAGTACATCTAAATGAAATTACTATCGTTCAATCAAGGAGAGCATGTAGTGAGATATTTTAGATTGTAATAGTCAACATACCACAATCTGTCTAGGAATTCACTGCACATAAAATTTTAAAATATGAGCAAAATGTGAATGAGTATTTAGTTGTATAATAAGGATATTTTATCTTCTTTATTAACATTCCACATTTTGTGTGAATTATACATTATATCTTTAGAATGAGTATTATGTTGGCAAATATATGTAAACATATATAAACATACATATGTTCGATCTCAGACCAATGCATCCCTTAACCTCGCTTAACCAGTCACAGGCCCATTAAATGAGCGAAAGTTGGACATGAGTCTAGCAATCATATCCTGTGAAAAAAAACCAGTACTACAGAGAGTTTCAAGCTCTATTTCAAATCCCTATGTCCCAGAGGGAATGCAATGGAATAAAATAAAAATAAGTCTTTATAAAACATATATACATACTTTGAAGATAATCCACATATATATATATATATGAGAAGAAATCAGTGAATTATGATAGCTCTTATACAGCTGAGGAACATAAGAACCATCACTGCACCAAAATGTTTTTCTCATTTCTATGCTGCTTGTTCACTTTGTGCAGTTCTGTACACTGAATTGCCTTACATTATAAGATAAAAGATCACACATTGGCTAAAAACATTCAATGTTCACCATTTGAGCCTGGAGTCAAGTTCCTGTCCACCCGCTTCATCTAAGGCAACTCCATAGTATCATAAGACTTCATATAATAAACGTGTTCAAGAATCATTCGCCGGTTAAGAGAGCCTCATTTTACCCGATTTCGTTTTCCTTTACTGTAACAGAAACCAAGCGAAATGACTCATGAAACATATGAAGTCCAATTGATATATTTCACATCATTTAGCGCTGTGAGATATTTAATTTATGACTTCCATCACAATATATAACAGCGTCCTTGTTGATGGCTTCATTATATATCTTATGTTGAAGAACAAATGCTTTTCTTTAAAGAAAAGTTGTCTTTACTTACCTATCTTTGGATGGGTTATATTCTAAAAGAAAAGTGTCGTGAACAGACATTGGACAGCGTAAGAACAAAAACTTAATTTAAAAGAGTTGTAAAATTATGAAATAATTTTAAAGACGATCAGTGTTATTTAGAATAACAGTAATCATAGAATCATCCAGAGATGTTTATTGTTATTTTTTTAAGACATGGAGCTTCAGCAACACATTTTCATACCGAAAGAATAAAGGTAACGAATTTAATTGTAAATACATAACATTATAGTTTCTTGATGTTTTCTCAGTTGATTTAATGAGGCTCAGTTAGAACAACAAACCGTAGTATTTTTGTTCCCTTGGGCTGCCAGTGGAATATAAGGCTTCAGCAGCACACCTTCATTTTATCTCGTTCAATATAGAAACCTTTAGCTGGCTCCACAATCTCGTCCATGTCAAACTCCAATCCCAACCCAAACGGTTATTTCCTATGCTGGTTCCAGTCGACGATGTGTCTGACTCGTGATGTCAACCAAAAATCTCCTCAGCCTATGTCCAATCCATACCCATCCTCTTCCACACATTTCTTCAGCAACAGCTTCTCGATTGGTTCGTTCCCACAGTTCCTTCCAACTAATTCTTTTTGGCCAACCAGTGATCTTCAGTATGGAGTCAACGAAGTAGGAGGCTGTTGATAAAAGTCAGCAGTATCATGTTCGAAATGCTCTTCATAAGGCGCAAACCGAATTTCTGATCCACATAAAAGAAGGCCCTTGATTTTGGTGTTGAAAATCTGAATATCGTTCTGAATGCTCAATGATTTCAGAGTGATCAAGGTCTGCTTTACCTTTCAAATGCGGTTTCTAACCTTGCTATCCGTGCTGACTGTCTGTATTTGAAACGATGCTGCCCATATGAGTGAACGAAGTGACCTTTAAATTTCCTCCGTTTGCAGTGACTGGTCCTGCTTTCTGTTGTTGGTCCGTTGTCTTCATCACCTCCGTCTTCTTTATGTCTACTGGAAATCCTGTCTTTGCTGCCAGCCTCTTTTCCAAACTTTTGCTTTTCGTCTGTAGATCCTGGAAGTTATGTAACATTAAACACAAATCTTCCTCGAAGTCTACATGTTTTACAGTCTTCTTGTCAGCTCAGTGTACTTCTGTCTTCTTGCTCCACGCAGTCTGACGCATACTGCAGTCCTCCACAATTAGAAACATCCACACATGTTACATACATTTAAACTACAGAATTTATATGAATATATAGGTATATGTAACGCACTTTTTGAATCCAATTCCTCACTGATTTCACTATTCTAAACTGACAAGGCTCTACGTCTTACAGTGTTTATGTTTCTTCCAAATAGACGAATAAAGAAATGACAAAATAGACTTTTATTTGGTGGTTGTGGTCACGCAATAGGAATTTTATGACCTATGTTTCATGCCAGTTAGCACTCATTGATCACTTAGAATAAACTGAAGCTCCGCAGGTATCTGTTAAGCAAATTTTGTCCTTTTCATTCCGTTCAAATAGATTAAGAACGCTAGAAATTTATGGAAGTAGCACTCACCTTCAACTCCGAACCAGTTATTGACTGAAAGTAAAATATTCCGAAAAACAAAGAAAAATGAATGACTCATGTTCTTTCCGTTATATATATATATATATATATATATATATATATTCAGGTGTATTCGCTGATGAACTCTTTAAAATTCATGAGTTGTATGCCCCTAAAACACTGTCTTTATGAATTGGTCATGACGCGTGAAAAACATGTAACATCTGTAACAACAGAAGACAAGGGCCAGGCAACAGATCGTTTTAATATGAAAATCAACACGTATTTATACATATTTCACATACATTATTATAGACAAGCGCAATTATCTGATTGGTTGTTTATCAGAAGTTAGGCAGACAAACGCAGGCTTCTGATTGGTTGTTTCGGGATTCCTCGACAAATAGAGTTCTCTATCTGCGAATCATATTTTGCCACGTTAACTTTGCTGTGATTGGTTGTCGAATCAGCCTTGCTCATATTTTCTCACGGCCTGCTCTCACCACACATCTTACCTAATGTTGTTTCGTTTTCATCAATATCATACTGTATGCACAGTACTTAAGAGTTCTCAATGGTTCTATATCTAAAGTCGATTTGTGATCAAATTTGACAGTTGAATTTCTCAAAAACTATTTACAATTTCAGTGTATGCAGAAGGAATATCAATTTGTAGACGTTTGATTATTCTAGAACGGCACAATCTAGGTCAGTGACAGTTGTCACATTCTACTGACTGACAATGGTTCCCTGGACTTTTTTCTCAACGACTGGAGTATTTAACCAAAAAAATAACATTTTAGATACTATAGAGAGAAAGATATTATGGAGTGACTGCTTAGATAGATAGTCATAAAGTATATATAAGACATTACGATATTGCGTTTAAACCTACAGCTATTCCACCAAATTTCAATGAGAAGCTGAATTCTATACCTTTCAGAATATTTTTGCTGTCTCACAAGAGTACTAATTGATGTCCTCTTTCTCACTAGCTGGTATAGTGATGGAAAGAAGTCATATAACAGTATAAATGCTGTCTTCATCAGCCTTTTTGTAACAAGTCATAACAGCTCACTTATTGAAATTAATTTGTTATTTGTAAATTCGATAAACAAGCAAATAATCAACTTACATGTGTTAGTGATTTCTGTAATAATGAATAAGTTAATTGAGACAAAATTGATGAAAACACCATACGACTAATTACACAATGCTTTACCATAGGGTTACGTGTTATTCTTGTCAATTTGGATGGTTTTTAATCAAAACAGGTTAAGAGTGGCTAGATATTGATATGAGTTGGTTTATGATTAATCAGATTCTACAGGACCATTAGTAACGCACTGTGCAATCCCATACATCGCACATTTCCTATGATCAAAATAGTAGCTAGCATTAATTTTTAGATCTAATTAGGTAGTTCAAGTTTCCTAATATAAAGCAAAAGTAATGAGAAAATCATCACACTTGAAGAATCTTGATTTCCCTGATGATATATGCCTTATTTCCCACAAAAAGGAAGATATGCAAGTGAAAAGCAACAGGTTGGCAGAAGACGCATCAAAGATATGCCTTCAGATGAACATAGAGAAAAGAGAGTTGATGAAGATTCCTGGTGAACAGCAACAACAACAGACAACAACCAGCATAAATTGGAGGAATATGATAGAGGTAACCTCCTTTACCTGCGAGGCATCATTTCAACTGCAGGCGGGACTGATGAGGATATCAAAGCAAAGATCGGAAAAGCAAGGCAAGCTTTCATTACTCTCAAGTCTGTGTGAAGATTAACAGCACTACTCAGCATGAAAAATAGGATCCGGATTTTCAAATCCAATGTGAAGTCAGTGCTAATTATTACGCAGATGAGACTTGGCGCGTCACTAAGGGCACTTCGAACAAACTTCACACCTTCATCAACAGCTGTCTTCGCTCAATACTACTCAAGATCAGATGACTGGCCAGAATAGATCAGCAACAGTGATCTCTGGAAACGAACCAACCCAGTAGGAACCAATTATGCAGCAAATTTCTGAGGAAGAAATGGAGGTAGAGGAGGAGGTGCTCTGAGAAAACAAGCCATCAAGTGACATCGCACGCCAGGCCATTGCTCGAGTGGAAACCGAATGGAAAGCATCGAGTCGGTCGTCAGTGCGAGGGTGACATGGAGGGTGTCATGTGAAGAGAAGATGAAGGCATGTGGGTAGACGTGGAGCCAGGTGAAGACGTTGTCAGAGAATCAAACGCAATGGAGATAAGCGGCTGAAGCCTTAAATCCCTTATGGAACTAATGGAGATAATGATAATTATTATATATCCACCCGCTATCTGTTAGTTGGAAACTATTTAGTTGTAATAACAATAGTTATCCAGTCATTGTTTTTATCCATACAATTTATATAAAATTTGCTGTATTGTAAAACATATATCAATAATAAGCCACAGCTTTGGCGTTTCATGCATTTTAAAGTCAGCTGAAAACTCTACGAAGAAATGAAATAATTGATTATGTCATATAAGTTGTTTAGATTATGGGTTTTCTACAGATTTTAATGAATTTCAATGTGAATTATTTCAAAAACCAACACCCGATTGAGATATTAGAAACCAAGGAGCACACTGGACAACTGTTTCCTGATGATAGAAGTGATAGAAGTTAGAATCCATTGGTCAGTGAATACCGGCTTAAGCGCCTAAATGGCAAATGAGCTTGTCTTTGTAATTTCAGTGACCTGAGCTTGATCCCTGATGAAGTCGGAGATGAGTACTACTGAAAAAAGTCACAAATTAGGGCAAAATATCTGTCTAATATGATTCCTGATTCACAGTGACTTCAAACTGCTAAAATAAGTTGCTTTAAAAGGGGAGTGAAACAAGTTCAAACTGATTACTACAAATAAATGATTCATCATAGGCAAATACTTGCAACCATAAAATGAACAAAAGTAGTTACACATAATTATTGCTTTGGATAAATTCTTCTCAACAATTATAAATCCATTAGTTTGAGCATACAATAGCCAGTAAAAGCAAATTAGAATCATACCATGACACCGTTGTTATTATTGTTGTTTGTTACCCTTGAACTTACGTCGAGGCCATCTCATTTTTCAGTTTATTTTTCTGTAGTTCTCATATTGTCTCACACACCACTGAATACACTCATTCCCAAAGCCTTCACTTTTGTTGACTATATAGATATGCATCACTTAATTATTCTGAATGAAAATACAAAAACTAACTGGCTATTGTTCCATACTACCTTATACTTATTCCACAATACATTTCTGATGTGATTTTAGTTTGTCTTTACTGACTGGCTGTTGTATGCTTAAATTAACGGATTTATAATTGCGGAGCCTGAAGAAGAACTTATTGAAATCATTAATGTTCGCTGTAACTATTTTTGTTCTGAAAGTCTTATGGGAATATTCAAGTTATAAAATGATCTGAAATATTCTGCGTAATTTTTATGTAAACTCTTTAACTACTAATACTCATAAATAGTAATAATACAAAACTATTACAGCTTATAGATAATATCAATATGATAACTTACTATCTTTAAAGGAAACTGAAAGGTTCAATGACCACCGAAAAAAGAAAAGAATAATAAACTTATCATTCTTATGCTAAAGAGGTTATTCGATGTGTAGAATTAAAATGTTCACTCCTATTTATTCTGAACCCACTAGAAGACATTTAGAAAAGAGATTATAAGTCCTGGAATTTCTCAAATTATTTTCCTTCTAAATCAAAAAAAGCAGTATATTTGATATTTATCCCCATAGGCAGTCTTTCAAGTGACAATATTGAGTTTAAGAATTTCACAATAAGATTGGCGATTTATTTATATACGAAGGAATTATTTGAAATGTCTGCGTTATTCAATGAACAGTCAAAAACACTGTGTTCAATCATCGCAGAGATATTAGCGACATAAGATAAACTAATGGAGACTGTCGAATATTTTGTAATAAATTGTGTTGAAAAAAGACAAGTAAGAAAGACAACTGAATCAATCCTATTCATTGGTTAATCAATGGATAGTGACTAGGCAGACAAGTAGCCAATTTTTTGCTATTCAGAACTCCTCAACTGAATGCTTCTTTTATTTTCACTGTAATAGTGTTCCCACTGAGATAGGAAACCAACCTCCATTATTGCTAATTTCATACATGTCCGAAGATGCAATATAAAACGCAAAACAGCTTCAACAAATGACAACTTTAAAATCCCTATTGAGTCGCATAAATGAAAAGGCATTCAGCGAAGAGTTACTCTTCTTTTCGCTGATGTCATTCTCAAGCTGCACAGTCGCATAGATATATATATATATACATAGTTATCATAGAGACAAAAGCAGTATTTCCACAGATGTGTCCTTAGAAGTGTAAGTTTTAGGTAGCAAATTATGTAATGTAAAAAGCGTTAGTCGGCTAGGAACCAAAAATAAAATTAAATAAGTATACTGGATGACTGAATATAAGTGACGGAGTTAAATTTTAGAATTCAACTAAAATTGGATGAGAGAGAGAGAAAGTCAAGTTAACAACAGTGATGATAATGGGTAGAGATTTATTAGGAGATGGGGAGAGAAAATAATACAATTAAGAAACAAACAAAAACTACATATTTGGTTTTAAGATATATATAAGGTCGATTGTAAAATTAATGACTGAACAAACTTCTTTTGTATGCAGAGTTTAGGATTTAACATGTGAATCACCATTGCTTCTGCTCTGTTAGAAGAAGTTTCACTCATACTCTTTTAGCGAGATTCCAACGCGATCAGTAGATGATTTTGAAGTTTGTTTGTGAGTTAGCTTAGTGTTCAGATTCGACCAGGTGTTTCAGAAGAGAGCTACTGTGGTAAACTCTGGATACGGTCAACATACCTAAGTCCACAGGTGGAACACGTCAACTGCTAGATCCACATTCGCTGAAAACCTTTTTCTTTTATATTCAGCAAATAAATTCACTCAAAACCACAGCTTTTTTTCTTATTCAAAAATGAACTTCCTTTCTTCTTTGACCATTAATACACATCAGTAAGCTATGCAATAAATATATATATATGTATCTTAAGAAATGCTATTGTTTCGTAAACATCTAATAGAATGTTATACTAAATGGAATAAAATGGTGATTAGTTTTAATCATTTTTAATCACTTACGGTTTTCATTCCCATTTGCTTGAAAAGAAGTTTCAAATTCATTGATAAGTCTTTCAGAAATCTGATAAAAATTAACGAATGTGTTTTAATCAACTTGTTGATTTCGCACTTTTGTCATATCTCTATTGAGACCTTTTGTAATGTCAGTCTATAAGTTGACTTTATTATAATTATTATTGCTAAAACACATTATGGACATCAAGAGATGTTCCGCACAAAATCTCACAGATTCTATGAGGACTGGAATACTGCTGGTATCCCAGACCAAGACAGGTAGTTGTCTTAAGAGTCCATCGCTCCTCACAAGACCTCTGACTTGAAGTATAATCCAGAAATCAGTGGATCAGGGTCATGAGATTGGTTCCTACGGTTTCTAATGACCAAACAGGTTTATACGCCATTCAATCTTTTCGGATTCTGCAGTCCATGTACATCATGAGTTTTGAATCAGTTTTTTGCATGCTTTCAGTATATCCAGACGTCAGCTTGAAGGCATTGAGAACATTGACTTTGTATTCAGTTAAACTCTCTAACTGAGTCTGAACGTTAGGCCTACTGGATCAGTCATTAAGTAACATGCATAAACAGATATCTTAAGGTATCTTAGTAAACATACTCAAGTGACACAACTATTATATTTTTTCTATGACAATATTTTTGATGGCACTATCTAAAATCCGGCATTCACAGTAGAGTCTAAAAATATGTAGTAAAGTTATTCCTCCAAGAAACCTATAAGTACTGGACAGCTAACTAGGGACTTTTTAGCACTACACACCCGTATACTGACCAGAAATCAAATGTGACACCTTCAAGTTAAAAACTGTTGAAACAGTGAACAATAAGATTTTCCTTCCACTCCTGATAAATACCAGCAAAGCATTTGAAAGTATACTCACATTTAGTTCCAGATCGAGAATAAAAGTAAGCGAATAAATGTACTTACGCTGTGTCAGCGATGATGATGATGATGATGAAGATTTAAAGAGGGATGTAACTAAAATTGAAAATTAAAAAGCATGAAAAGTAATCATAACCGAATAACCAGTTGGCGCATCCTGCAAATTATTCTAGGTCAATTAGTTCTTGCTATAGTTAATTCCTCGAAGTCTGTGAAACACCAATTTTACAAAATGAATACTACTCTACACTTGTGACAGTATGTACTTTGCCTGCACTGCATCTAAGCAGATATAGACAATAGATGTTATTATATAGGACGATCCTGTTACAATAGCTTTAGTTATATGTAGAAGACTTAGGCAAACTGATCATGAGGATCACTTCAGAATGCAGTATAAAATCCTGAAGGCTATATCAACGTCATTGAGATGTCTTGTGTCCACCAAATGTGATAAAAATTAGCTTTCTGTGCTTTTGCTTTCGCGCTTCCTGATCTAAGCTCGAAGGTGTTCTCAAATCCGCAGATATACCTGCCTAATCGTATGCTTTACATATTCTTTAACCACAGCAAGAATTGAAAAGTGGTAGGATGTCTTTCAAGTTCTGGGTGAACATTAGATGGCTACTAAGGGATAGAGAAAGATTAACACAATAAAAAACCTTCTTTATCTCTCTAGCTAGACGCTAAAACAAAATCTCCACAGGCTTACGACCTCTAGTTTATTGTGTGTTGGTGGCACAGCGGTAGAATGCTCGTCTACCACGCAGGTGGTCCGGAGTTCGATTCCCGGCCGACTCACTCCACTACCTCGATGAGCCAGTAATAAGAATGGTGAAGAAAGAAGTTTGGGCGTGAGGCTAGCAAATGCACTCTGTAAAAAGAAACACCACTCCCACCGAAATTTCGAGCCTCTAGCTTGAAGCCCTATGTTCTACAGGGAACGTAAAGGAATAAAAAAAATAACTCGACACCTCCTATAACCTCGGATTCGAAAAAAGGAGGAACTACAGTTTTTGCAGAATAAAATGGTACCATCTTTTATTCCGTTGCCTTCTCGTCAGCTGCTTACAGGCCAAAAGACATTATTAAATATATCTACAAAAACAATTCTAACATACTTGCACAGAGTTCATTTTAAACAGAAATCAATCAATATATGCATACAGTAATAATATATATATATATGTAATATTAAACACGATTCCGAAAAATAATGATCATACACAATGGAAACCTTTCGGCATTACGCACTCAGATGAAGGAGAGATGAAAATATCCAGTTACCAGGGCAAAGAAAGACTGATAACTGTTTCTTTCTGAATGCACAAATCAGGTTTCAGGCGCTTGATGAAAATGGCTTCAGCAAACTTGAGGAGAATTGGGCTATCTTGCCTACTGATAATTTTGAACGACATTTCGACGTCCACTCCATAACTCGTGTCAAGGAGATGCCGGGCGATGGCGCCGCTAAACATGTATTAAAAGGCTTATGTCTAAAGGGGACAAATACTTTAAAGCGGTGCCATCGCCAGACATCTCCTTGACACGAGTTATGGAGTGGACGTCGAAATGTCGTTCAAAATTATCAGTAGGCAAGATAGCCCAATTCTCCTCAAGTTTGCTGAAGCCATTTTCATCAAGCGCCTGAAACCTGATTTGTGCATTCAGAAAGAAACAGTTATCAGTCTTTCTTTGCCCTGGTAACTGGATATTTTCATCTCTCCTTCATCTGAGTGCGTAATGCCGAAAGGTTTCCATTGTGTATGATCATTATTTTTCGGAATCGTGTTTAATATTACATATATATATATATTATTACTGTGTGCATATATTGACTGATTTCTGTTTAAAATGAACTCTGTGCAAGTATGTTAGAATTGTTTTTGTAGATATATTTAATAATGTCTTTGGCCTGTAAGCAGCTGACGAGAAGGCAACGGAATAAAAGATGGTACCATTTTATTCTGCAAAAACTTTAGTTCTTGTTTTTTTCAAGTTCATTAAGGGGAATAAATGTATGAAACTTTGGATTTACTTGTCGGTACTTCTTTCTCCATTCTGTATGAATCTGTTGTCACTAATTACCGTCACCTTTGTCTCACAAATACTACTTATTTTGTCATCCCATAAATAGTCTGTTATTCTCAGTGAATTTGTTCCACCACATAACTGACCATTACAATAACGATGAATAATCACTTCTGCATAAAATTCAACACAAATGTAGTAGCGTAGGTCTTAGAAGGTTTTAAAATAAGACAGAGGATTGAATTGTATAATTATCCATTATTTTAATGCTACACGAAGTGAATGTTAAAGCCCCATTTTAATGAGAAATCATCACATATTCGCCGTTATGTATAGTGTGAAGGTTATACAGTGTCATCTGCAGACTGACATTATGCTAAAACTAAATACATTTAACGGAAATAAGAATTTTAATTTCACTCTAGCGAATTCCAATTACCTTTGTGCCACATACCTGAATAGAAATAAAAATAGCATCAACTGGAACATTATTATTATTTTCAAATGTTACTGATTTCTGTCATCAAACATGAAGAGCAGATTGGACAATAATGAAAAATTCAGGTCTGTCAGTATCTGCTTCTGTGACTAACATCTGCCAGACAGAACAATGATATCTTACACTTTCCATATATCGTCAAAAAATATGAAATGGTAATATTTTGGGGACTGGAGTGATCATCACAAATTTCAGTCAGGAGGATGAGTTTACTTCTCAATTACTCACTTTACAGATCAGTTACTAAAAGATGTCTTTTAAATTTTAACCAGCTTTACTTTTAGATCCTAGTAATATCTCTAATATTCTAACTACTACTGTGGTGAGAGCTGGCTGTTAGTCAAAATTGGTGGACAGTAATTTACTTCAGTGTTTATGTCCCATATATTGGTTGTGAAAAAAATGAGAACAAATACTTTGCGTAGGCGGATACAGTTAACATATAGATGATCTGAGATTCAAGAAATAGCCACAAACATATAAGATTAACTTTCAGTGAGAAACAATCAATCAGAAAACTGTGTTTTTCTGCTAACAATAATCTATAATAAGTACACAAAAATATATCAGTATGTCTTGATTTCCTTCATAAACGATCTGTTTCCTGGTCCTTGTCTTCTGCTGTTACACTACTACTATTACTGTGGTGGTGGTGGTGTGATAAAGACAATAACTTCCAAATGAATATTATTGTCACAGTAAGAATCATTGTATTTGTTGGTGTTAATGTCTGAATACTATTCTCGCAGTTCAACAGCTCATTAGCAACAGAATCCTATAAGTATTTGAACATTCTATCTTATGTCGTTTAAAGTAAACCAAAATTACAAGTTCAGTGATTAGTTAAAGAATATAAACTGTATAAATGTAAATAGGCGTCTGATCACTCGTAAATATATTCATTGGCTTGCCTTCTGCTGTAACAGTATTATTAATACTGCTACAAGAAATGTTTACACACCAGCTGTCATGCAGATTCACGTACACATCTCAGATACACCTTATAATTTAAAGTTGATTCTACCAGTTGACTATCCAGGGATTAATAGATGCAGATACATATTAGTATGGTGATGAGTATCTTGCTCAATGAAATATGACACAAAATAAGTCTTTCGTCCAAATAAACTTAAAATAAGAAACAAATTTGAAAAAAAGTAATATTTGTATTTAATATGGTATTCTAATGTCAGAATAAAGGAAGACAAATTCAACTCACGAGGGAAGAATGATTCTACACAATTAAACATACAGAGAAGTTTACATCTATACGGAAATGTTTGTTTTCTAAATGTGATAAGAAATACTGCCTATCAAGCCGAATATTATCAAGATATGATCACTATATAGAACACTTGACTTATACTTTTAAGGAAGAATTCAGAAACATCCTTAAACTATAGGGTGAAATGATACAGTCATCTCATTCAATAAAATGCAGACCAAAAGATGGCATTGTGAAAAAGACGACATGATTAACATTGTCTACAAAATAAACCGCATAACCTGTTCGATAAGCAGTAAATTCGTCAAAACGGGTGTTCCTTTCAATTTTGAATCCAAAAATATCAACTAATTGTCAAAATAAATGACAGGTATTCCTTCATATCAATGCATGGACATCAATTTGATTGAGAAAATGTAAAATATTTTAAACACCAGAAGTGCTAGGGAATTCCTAGAAGCCGAGTAGACAGTGGAATCAAGGATTAATAAACACATTACTATAGATCAAATATGTCAACTAATAAAGAATAAGCTACATGATAAGAAAGGAGTCGAATTTCAAGCCAATAAAAACTATAAATACGTATGTAAATTAACAATCAATCACAATAAAGGTTGTCAGCAGATGCAGTTGTATTGCTCATAGAGAATTCAAATAAGTTCACTTCATTTTATGGTCTGCACTGAATGGATGTTGTACAGAAAGACAACAAAAGCCTAATTAAACCGCCTAGGTTATACAAGGCAACCAAATCAACAAAATCATCCAGCTCAGCAACAAATCTTCTTTCTCTATAGTAACATAAAATCCATTACTCCGTAGATAAGTATTATAATACCGCCACACTTTGTTATGCGTTCTGTCGAATATGTGCTATGTAATACCTGAGGTTATAAAGAGCTGACCAACACATCTGCACTTTTCAAATATACAAAGATTATGGTGACCACATCGTGTGCTAAACAGACTTCTCTAAGAAAAAACATTGTGAAAACATTCCATTTTATATAAATGCATCCTTATTCAACTAAGCGATATAAATGTTTCCCATAGTAATTTGGTTTGTATAAAACCAGAGGAATAAGTAGAATATGAGATGTGACTTCTTTGTCAAATTTGTAATTCTAATATTCCTTGTTGTTTGAACATTTCTTTGAAGACTTCATCCTGTTGTTCAAAAGGACAAGCAACTGAGGCAATATACTCGGATATAGTGTGAATTGAATACTATGCGTGCTACCATGACAATTGAGAATACTTACTGACTGATGTGCGTATACTTAACCATAAAGCTCACAAACAGTAAACATGTGGCTCTATTCACTGAGATAATAATTGATAGACGAAAGTTTAAAAAGGCAACTTCCAACCAATTATTTTATAAATAAGCAGCACCCTTTCCGTATTTTACACATTTCAACTTGGAGTATGACACTTACCTTGTGGCTCTGTTATTTACAACAGCATGAATAGGTAGATCAACAAATATTCTTTAAAGTGACATGGATGAATGCATGATGGCATAAAGCCAGATACAAACTAAACGTCTTTTTTCAAATGTTTCGAGGTGAATATGCCATACACCAATTTAAAACTCAATTAGACTCAAGTATTATTAGTATTATTCCCTCAAGTTCTAAATAGAATATAAGATTTCCTTACTTTTGAGTTGAGTATTGATGTAATTGTTCAGGATGACTGATTCCCACTGAGTAAACGTCTTCGATGCTGCCGGAGAGAATATAATGATAGCTACTACCCCAGTATGACCACGCTTGTCATTTCAGTATATCACTGACTATCAAGTTAACAATAGTTTGTAGAGTTTAATTGAATTCCACCTGCTCTCTCCCATCAGGACATGGAATGTCCTTATGCTTATTTTTAATTTTATCGATAGGAAACAAATCAGTTGACCGGTTTCCCGAAAGATTTCACCAGCCCAAATTATTGCGTCTGTGCTTTGAATTTTCTGTAGCGATTGGGTTGGTATACCGGGTAGGGTCGCCAATCTCACGCCTAACCACTCCTGTTTATCCAGGATTAGGACCGGCTAGTGAACTAGTAAACTAGGCGATGTTGGACTCAAACATACATCTTAGCAACGAAATATGAAATTATTTGATTACCTGAAGGGTTATAATCACATCAGTAATGTAGCCTAAACCATGATGCTAACTTCTGTTGGATACAAGACACCAAATGTTTTGATACGGTCTCAACCATATTAGATAAGTTTACTTTAAATATGACACAGTGATGCAATGTTAACAACTGAAAGACATTTCTAGCATAAATTGTTACTCGTAATCACAAAAAATTAGCCTAAATTGAAATGATTATAATCAAAAATCTATGCTCAAGACGTCAAACAGTTATTAATACTGCATCACTGTGCGATATTTAAAGTAAACTTATCTAATATAGAATTACATTCTACCGCAGTGCCCAAGTTCTACATTTACAGTAACAACCCGAGCAAGGATTTTCAACATAGAAATGTGGTCAGTATGTTATTTTATAGATGGTAGCTAACTGAGGAATCCAAAATGTGTGCATTTTGTCCTATGGGTGATGGCCATCACAATAAAACTGAGATTTATCACCTATTATTTCAAACTTTTTGAACCGTTCGTACTATAAATCAACGTTTCAATGGGGAACTGGCATTTATGTCCAAAAAAATCAAGTAAAAGGAAATTGAAATTAGTTCTGATTTTGAAATATGTTATTACCAAACTAAGTAGTATTGCTCATTAATACAATCTCTGACTGCAGAACTAGGTGACGTGGGTTTGAATCTCAGGAGGAACACGTGTTCTTCCAGGATTGAAGATATGGCTTGCTGACAAGTGCCAACAATCACGAAACCTAGTTTCTAAGTATCCTGACGACTGCCTACAACTATGTAACAATTATTCAGGGTAGACAGTTATGGTGAAACACCTAGCATGGTGGGCATATTGCCAACCTGACTAAAAGCATAACATTAGTTACTAATTCGTGTCCAGTCTAAGTGCTGCTTAACTGCTTGAATGATTGATTACACAGTGTGCAATTAATCAGAAATGTAGGTAAACCCACAAAGTTTAGGTAAACAATAACTGAAAGCATTGTACCGAAGAATTCTTCCAAATATGTGCCAAACTGATTTATAACATTTCTAGTATACATATCATCTAAACACTTAAATTTCGTTATGTGTGCAGACTGAGAATTCATTGGAATCGTTTCAAAACACACATTTATCTTGCTTGGACAACGTTTAAAATCTACGCTCTTCAGAAAAAGAAAACTATAGAATCAGTCAGACAACAGTGAACAAGACAGTAGGAATTCGCAGTCATTTCTTCAAAACTGGTTCGTGTGACGTACATAAATGATAAAACAAAATTAGGATCATAGTGACTAAAGAATTTTCACTTACGTGGTGTGGTTTGAACTGCGAACATAAATTATATTGTTATGCAAATTCCACGATAAGTCAAATATATTAGATCACTCAAATGCATACTACCAACTCTGAAAAGATGTAATCAGTGTCAGAAAGTAAAGAATAACGTCAAATCAACCTCAAGAGAATTTGATGAACAGATAACAAAACGAATAGATTAGCAGTGAAAAATAAGTGTGGCTTCAAGTCTACTAAAACATTTCACAAAGTCAACAAGAATACTATTATACTATAAAACCAGGAAGCAAAATTCTGATAATGTGTTAGACTATTCACTTGCAAACTTCTTATTCACTTTACAATGAAAAAAATCATTCAAAAGCGAAAATTTCACGTATATGCTGTCGATTCAGTTAGAAACTTTACAATAGAGTAAATTTAGACACTGAAGAGAAATAGACGGTTCTTAGATTGGAAACAAGACATCCACAAACACTCTGAAAACAACTTTTTGTCAACTGTATTTTCTAACTAAATAAAACATAAGGTTTAAGTGTTAGTTTGTAAGCATTTATTATATGACACCATTTAAAGAACCAGTAGGGACTAGAAAGTACTGGACAACTCTTTCCTTCTTGTTTTGAACTCTTCGGTAGCGCACACCCATGGCCTTCAAATTAAGAGACGAGCTCGTCTACCATTCAGCCATTTGGAAGGAATTCTATGATTGTTAGGTATTCTTATCGCCATCGCCAGCCAATGTTATCTGAGAGTATTCTTTCTCAGTGGTAAGGGGAAGAGTGAGTGAGCATTGTATGAAGTCCTAAACTAGGACTAAACAGTCATACACTACTCTCTGGTTTCAATGTTCCTCTCATGAATATCAATCCATTATCATTGCTTATATCAGTGCTTATGTGTTTATGGATGGATTCATTCATGCACAAGATAAAACAAATTGAAGTCCTCAAGACGTTCTCGTATGACAATTAAACCTTTGTGTGTTTCACTCTTAAATGACATAAAATAGACAAATTATTAAATAATAAATTGATAAATAACAAAATATTTGGGCGAAGTTAAACTTTCGACACCACTAACTACCAATCTGCAAATTATCCAATGAGATTCACGAACGATGTCGAATTATCCAATGAGGTTCGCGAACGCAGTTCAATGTTGTATAGCGCTTGATTCATTTCTAATGCGTGACCTTACAAGGCTACAGTTGCAATTCGAGGAGGTTAGTGTTTTCCAGTATTTCCTGGATTTGAGTTGCTCCGGAAAGAGCGAATTTGTTTGTGTGGTGGTATCATTACTTTAAAAAGCTATACGGCGAAGTTTAAGAATAGGGTCCCAAGCGATGCGAACGCACAATGACCTTGAGCCGACCAATCAGAAAATAGGACGATTTTTGCATAAAATTTTACGTATATTTACACAAAAATGCATGAAAAAAAGATTAAACGGATTATATTTCTCTGATATGACTTAAAAATACGTTCCAGTTGCGATGAAGAGTATCAGTTGCTAATTTGGACTAGTTTCTGTAGATGTATTCACCAAAGAGACTGAAGGTGTGCTGTTTTGAGAATGGTTCATCTCTCTTCTATTGCTGTGTAGTCCTCTCCTAAGCCCTGGGTTTAGTTACTATGGTTCCAGTAAGAGCGTTGGCGACTACATACAAGGGAAATAAGGATAACAAAAGAACTTGAAATAAACGAAAAATCTATTCCTAATCGCTACCCTAACCCTAACCCTAACCCTAACCCTAACCCTAACCCTAACCCTAACCCTAACCCTAACCCTAACCCTAACCCTAAACCCTAAACCTAACCCTAACCCTAACCACAATACTCGCCTTAACCCCTATCCTAACCCCAACGAGATGTTAACACATTGTCCAAACAGTAATAAAAGTGTTATCTGGGTGAAACTTGCTCCTTATTTGATGAATAGGGTTGATATTTCAGCTATGATAATGACAGGAACCGTTAGCCAATGACTAGCATGCGTTCAAGGTCATTTGAGCGTTGAAGGTTTTGGGACCCTATTCTTAAACTTCGCCAGCTATACCAAGTCAACTGATGGGTTTGTTCATCTGGAGAGGGTAAGCTGATAATTTTAATATTTCGTAGGAACTTAATTTCGCTAGGTCGCATCTCTCCCTAACCCAGATTTTGTATATCTGCAACTAATGGGTGTTGAAACAGACTGTGAAAGCAGCAGCTGCCGAGATGGAGAATAGCCATGTCTCAACAGTTCCGTGGTACCAGCATTGCAGAGACATCGCATCATGGAAAAGTGGGGAAAATCACTTGTTTGCTGGGTGGGGAAGACGCTTTCGTGCGTGTCGATGAGACAGTGCTGGTAAAAAAGAAATACAACCGTGGTCACCAGCGAGCGAACAATATTTGAATAATAGGTTTGTATGACACCTCTCTCCGAAAGGGATTCATCGAAAGGTTAGCAGATGGAAAAGCATTGACAGTCCCATGCTAAACTGGGAGATGTTTCTCTCGTATGTTCGAGAAAGATATCCCATGTAACTTTTTCATTCTCTATTTTGTGCTTTTTTTCTATAAATATACATTTCCATTCATCATATATGCCTCTTTAATGTAATTGGTTCTTTCAAGGTCGTTTGCTGATTGGTTGTTAGTGGTGTATAAAGTTTAACTTTACCAATATTTGCATCTGATTGACAGTAATATCTTAACTTACCTGGTTTAGCGGGTGCTACAGCTAAAACAAGATGCGAATGGTGATGTTTAATACTTTGATATGTGTAGTATGATTTCTCTAATCCTTATGTCATAGAAACGGAGATCATCAGCACTTCGCAATGCATTAATGAAAAATCCAGCGTCGCTGAACGCAAGGTGTGCTACTCTAATTTTACCATAAATCGTGTTAACTTATTCAACCTGGTGCTGAAATCAGATAACATAAGTGCTAATTAAATTTATTTCTATCACAAACCTTGTCACTATATTCATCACAAATTTAATCGTTTAAGAATCAATGTACACAATCAGAAAATCGATCACCTCTTAAACTATCCACTACATCTTCACTTTTCTCCCGATCCTGAAGTGATTACACGATCACATTCACATAGCAACACCGTAAGAGTGCCATCTAACCAATGTGATGCAGAATAAGTCTATACTTGATAATTCTGCTTGATATATGATGCTAGTAAAATATCACTAACATGTATTACCAAGTAACATGTAATACCAAGTGATAGCAATCATATCAGGACATTCATACGCAATTATGACTTGTTTAACATAGTCCTATTTCGTTTTGATTTTAGTGTAGTTTTTTCTTGCATTTATCGAGGACTGATACTGAGCCATTACTACGATTTATGTCAAATGAACACAGTTAACCCGGTTAACCATCTAATTATATTGCTTTTAATTACTTATACTATATGCGCCTGTAAGCAATGAATATATGCGGGTTGCAACGTAGTAATAGATGTGTTCCATAAAGACTACTTCTCGTGGATTATAGGGGAAACGAGAAAGACGGTTGTCCATGAATTTTACATCCTACTAATTCTAGATTTTAGCGAGATCACCAACCAGTGGGGTCGCTCCAGTCGGAAGTGAGGGCAGAGTTCTCACTGATGAAACTGGTTAGTGGTTGGGCTAAAATCACTGATTGGTATAAGTTATAAATCATAGGCTAGCCATCGAATCGGGTCCCAGTGGCTGAATGTTATACGACCTTGCCTTGAAACCCGACAGTCTTGGGTTCAAAATCCAGTGAAAGCGTACTGTTGAAGAGTTTCAAAATAAGACGGGACACCTATCTGGTACTCGTATCCTGGTTTTTAATGGTTCTGTAACTGATATCAATCCGTGGCTTAAACAGCAACAAATGTAATCCCTACAAACTGATTCTTGAGAACTATTTCCGGTAGAGGGTGAAATTAACAAGATTACAAACAGTGATTTTTATTCCTTTACTTTCCCTGTAGAACATAGGGCTTCAAGCTAGAGGCTCGAAATTTCGGTGGGAGTGGTGTTTCTTTTTACAGAGTGCATTTGCTAGCCTCACGCCCAAACTTCTTTCTTCACCATTCTTATTACTGGCTCATCGAGGTAGTGGAGTGAGTCGGCCGGGAATCGAACTCCGGACCACCTGCGTGGTAGACGAGCATTCTACCGCTGTGTCACCGACGCACGCAAACGGAGATTAAAACATAATAATAACAGAACAAACAGAAAGTTTGGATGAGAAAATAGTAGGTTCACAATTATTGAGAAGTTGACTTTTTGTACATTTAGAGATTGAAAATGTAATAACAAAATAGACAGGATGTTCATATAGAAAACATAGTGGTGCGAACAGGGATTACAAAACGTAAAATTAAAAGAAATAAGCAGGAAGTTTGGATAAAAACTATAATACTATAATCACTATTGAGAGGAATAACTGTTTACGAAAGCCATCGTAAAGACAAAGACTGAACATATTTCTTCTGAACATATGGTGTTGGCATGAACTTTTGGGTCCCTGGTGCCTCAGCTCTGCCTAGGTGCTTCGACCTAGTTTTTATGGAATCTTGCACAGGACTTTGAAGGAATTCTCAAATAGATCTGAATGTTCTAAGTTCACCAGATGTTATGTTATCGAGCTACATACACCGACTTTCTTCCTTTGCTAGCTAGAGTGGATAGTTTTCCGGTGAGCATTTCACAAGCGAACATATAGTATGGCCAGTGTCACTGGTCAATTTCATTCTTATGCCAAATTTTAATTGTCATGTTAATCATCATTTGAATCGTTCAGGAAAGAATGTATACGATTTATTGAGTGAGTATAATCCGGTCTACGCTATCAGGAAAACGCATTTTTTGCTTGTTGCTTGCTTCTCCAGGTTCCGCGTCCAAATGACTTCCGAAAGTGACTTAAATTAGTGCTATTGTCTAAAATAAATTCTATCAGTACCGAGAGATTGAGAAATTAATAAATTCCTAAATACTTCATCTGCTATCTTTGAAGTCAATTTTCTCAGTGATCACTTATATAGTTCTTAAAAGAAGATTGTTTTACTTGTTGTTATTTTCCCTGCAATGAGTAGTTTAAATCGTTTATACATACCAAATGGACAAGCAAACACTACAGAAATCAAATCTTCTCCTATCAAATCAAAATTCTTCACTGATCTCTAGGCGGATTCTCTTCATCTATTCCTCTTGATGATATGTTATCACGTAAAATTTTAGCCTGTGATGACTATAATAGTTTGCAAAATTGCATCCATCAGTTGAACTTAAAATTCATTTTGAGAATTCCATGTTGAGAAGATCAACTGAATAACAAGCCATATGACAAACATATGCCAAAGAAAGACTCATTCCTCACCCACCATATTGTATCAACTTACCTGGTTTTGCAGGTGCGGCAGCTACGACAAAGTGGAATTAGTCATATTAATTATTTTATTTACAATCATCTCTGACATCATTTTCACAATACTATACTAGTTTCCACCCTCGCCTAGTTAACTAGGTTGCTGGTTTTCTAGCCGGTCCCAAGCTCGGGAAAGAGGGAAGATTGGGCGTGGGGCTAGAAATTCACACGAAAGAACCTAAAAAAACTGCTTGGGAAACTTCAAAGTACAGAAAATATAATAAAATTACAAAAATTCAAACAACAATCATGTTCTTTGCTGGACTCGGAGAGGCTGAATGACATAGAGGGCCGGTGACAGCCTTCGAGAAGCCAATCGGCCAAACGATGTGTCTTCTCTTCATGAGGGTAAGAGTAAGAATGGGGACGAGGAATGTCCGTACAATGAACGAGACTGAGAAGGCTGCTCGAGTAGCCAGCGAAATGCGAAGATATGGCATAGAAATGCTGGGAATCTGCAATAGAAGATGCAGCGGATGTGGATTGTCAAAATTGTCAACTAGAGAGTCGGCAATCTACTCCGGACACCCAAACGACAATCATGGACACATTGGAGCAGTGAGTGGCTATAATGAGGTCACTAGTGGCAGCCAAAACTATCATGCAATGGAAACCGATTTAATTCTGCAAGATCATGACAGTAAGATTCAACTGCAAAGGAGGGAAGGAAGGTGACAATTATCCAACGCTACGAACAGTGCTACAAACAACGTGGAGCAAAAGAACAAGGAAGATTTTTACGGACAACTGCAAACAATAATGGACAACATCCAAAATGGTGACATCAAAATCCTCATGCGCAATATGAATGCAAGCCAAACTGGGAGCAGATAATACAGGAATAGAACCCACCATTTGATGATCGGAGGCAGCATGTGCAAACACAAGGATATTCACAAAGCAACATGGATTTAAACTGATGGACACACTACAAACAAGATAGATTTCATCTCAATACTTCTCAACAAAGTGAAGACGCAGCCAGCCTGTTAGAAACAAATTCGAGAAGGGAGCAGATGTGGGCTCAGACCAACATCCTGTTAAAGGAACATTCATGGTGACGCTGAAGTCCCTGGAAACTAAATGGAGACAGACAATAATTCAAGTTCAACATTCAGAAACTGAAGGACAAATCTATAAGGGAAGTCTTCACTACAGATGAAATCAGAGTGAAGTCAGAGACACTACGTGGCATCACTGAAGAAACCTGTATGGAAGAACATTGGAAATCTCTGAAGACGATATTCAAGAAAACGTGTACAACTGTTCTAGTAAGAAAGAAGAGACACAACAAGGAATGGCTCTAAACAGACACCTGCTTGGGAGCGAATAGAAGAAAGGAGAGGAGGATGGTGAAACAGAAGAGTGATGACTCAATGCAAAGATGGTGAACAGAAGGAGAAGCTGAATTCAATGTACACTGCACTGAATACAGAAGTGAAAAAGGGTGCCAGGAAAGACGAAAGACAATTTTACGACACACTGACTGGCGAGTGAAGTAGAAGAGGCTGTGCGCAGGTGAAGCGAACTTCAGAACATTATGTCAGATAACCAGGTTTCCATCCGGGAAGACGACAACTCAGATGACAAACCCAATTGATGTTCAAGGGGACCTGATTATCAAGGAAGAAAAACAAATAAAACAATGGTGTGATCAATTTAAAGGACTCGAATCAACCATCAACTGCAACCCACCGAGAAATAACACCAACGGCACTCACGGATTCGCCAGTGAACACCAATCCTACAGAGAAATCACAAATTCTGAATGCAGTCAAGCTACTGAAATCCAGTCGGGAAGCCAGCTGAACCAGACAAAATTTCCCAAGCTGAAGCTCTGAAAACGGACCCAGAGACTGCGGCAGATGTACTCACGCCACTATTGCAAAAGGTTTGAAAGGAATGAAAGGTGGCTACCGATTATAAGAAAAGCTGACTACCTTGTCATGCTACCAGAGAAGGGCGACTAACACCACACTCTGCAAGAACTGGAGTGGAATAATGCTCTTGTCCACACCAAACCTAATACTAAGTTGTATCATCCTGGAGAGAATTAAGGATGCACTAGATACAGAAATCCGCCAACCACCGGAACAAGCTGCATTCATTGAAAGCAAATCATGAACCGATCAAATTGCAACTCTACGTATCGTCATCACAGAACAAAGCATAGAATGACAGTCAACTCTCACTCTCCGTCTCACTTCATCGACTTCGAAAAGGCCTTCGACAGACAGCGTTTACCGAGAAATAATTTGGAAACTACTTCAACACTACGGTGTGCAGTGCCAGAGTCTTTAGCAACCTTATTCAGCTGCTGGCTACATGACAATACTACGTGTCAGGTGATCCACAACGGGAAACTCAGGAAGGCGTTCGAAGTGAATACAGGAGTAAGACAAGCTGGTTGTCTATTATCACCAATGATATTCTTTATTCTGGCGGACTGACTATATTGTGCATCAGACTGTACACAGGGAGTAAAAAGACAGGAATACGCTGGACTACCGATAGGGAAAGTCTGCAAGATCTGGATTTCACGTGTGGATGACACATGTCCAGTGTGACACAAACTCGAAGACTTACAGGAGAAAACCAACAAACTGGCTGAAGATGAAGTTCACAGAAGACACGACTGACTCCAGATGAACATAGAGAAGACGATGTTGATGAAGATAACCAACCAACATCAAAATGAATGACTTTCACAAGTCACCATCAACGAGAGAGATTTAACAAAGGTTACCTCATTCACTCAGGTAGGAAGTATCGTTTCAACTACGAATAAAACGGACGAAGATGTCAAATGCAGTCGGCCAGAATCGGAAATATAAGATACACCTTCATCAACCTGAAACCAATTTGGGAGTCTTCCGCAATCAAAATAAGGAACAAGATTCGGATTCTGTTCAACACATATGTGAAGTCAGTGAGTCAGACAGCTGGCGAAGTTCAACTTTCGACACCACTAACTACCAATCTGCAAATTATCCAATGAGATTCACGAACGATGTCGAATTATCCAATGAGGTTCACGAACGCAGTTCAATGTTGTATAGCGCTTGATTCATTTCTAATGCGTGACCTTACAAGGCTACAGTTGCAATTCGAGGAGGTTAGTGTTTTCCAGTATTTCCTGGATTTGAGTTGCTCCGGAAAGAGCGAATTTGTTTGTGTGGTTGTATCATTACTTTAAAAAGCTATACCAAATCAACTGATGGGTTTGTTCATCTGGAGAGGGTAAGCTGATAATTTTAATATTTCGTAGGAACTTACTTTCACTAGGTTGCATCTCTCCCTAACCCAGATTTTGTATATCTGCAACTAATGGGTGTTGAAACAGGCTGTGAGAGCAGCAGCTGCCGAGATGGAGAATAGCCATGTCTCAACAGTTCAGCGGTACCAGCATTGCAGAGACATCGCATCATGGAAAATGGGGAAAATCACTTGTTTGCTGGGTGGGGAAGACGCTTTCGTGCATGTCGATGAGACAGTGCTGGTAAAAAAGAAATACAACCGTGGTCGCCAGCGAGCGAACAATATTTGGGTAATAGGTTTGTATGACACCTCCCTCCGAAAGGGATTCATCGAAAGGTTAGCAGATGGAAAAGCATTGACAGTCCCATGCTAAACTGGGAGATGTTTCTCTCGTATGTTCGAGAAAGATATCCCATGTAACTTTTTCATTCTCTATTTTGTGCTTTTTTTCTATAAATATACATTTCCATTCATCATATATGCCTCTTTAATGTAATTGGCTCGTTCAAGGTCGTTTGCTGATTGGTTGTTAGTGGTGTCGAAAGTTTAACTTTGCCAGTCAGCTCTTCTATACGGGTCAGAAACTTGCACTGCATGTCACGAAAAGGATTTCCAGCAGGTTGTAGACATTTATTAACACCTTCCAGAATCGCTGGCTCCATAGTGAAGATCGAATGGCCGGCCAGCTCGCCAGAAAGAATTAGCAACAAGAAACTCTGGCAATGAACAAAGCAACCAAGTGCCGATTGCTCAACAAATATGCAGGAGAAAATGCAAATGGATTGATCGAGCATACGCCACTGAGCAAGCCTTCTCTCAGATGGCATCTTGTGTAATTCAGGCCATCACTAGAATGAATCGCCGATGAAAAGCGACGAGTGGGTTGTCATTGAGAGGGCGACATAGAGTAGATAGTGTGTCGAGGAGGAGATGGGAGATTATGAGTAACCATAGACTTAGGTGAACGGGATGGCAGCAAAATAGAAGCAGGTTGAGATGTGTTGTAGGAGCCTTGTGTCCCACCCGGAAGCCAAAGAAATCATAATGTAACAACAGAAGACAAGGGCCAGGCAACAGATCGTTTTATTATGAAAATCAACACGTATTTATACATCTTTCAACTACATTATTATAGACAAGCGCAGTCATCTGATTGGTTGTTTAGGTAGACAAACGCAGGCTTCTGATTGGTTGTTTCGGGATTCCTTGACAAATAGAGTTCTCTCTGCGAATCATATTTTGCCACGTTAACTTTGCTGTGATTGGTTGTTGACTCAGGCTTGTTCAAAAAAAAAAACGGCCCATATTAGTGACCTAGACCTTAACGTAGATTAGTGCCAACCAATCGGCTAGCAGCCTGCTCTCACCACACTCGTCCCCCCGTCAAATACGTGCGACTGAAGTCGGCTTGATCTACTTGGTGCAGGCGTCATCGTTGGCTTGTCTCGCTGTATCCATTTCTGGAGCTCGCTGACGTTCACGCGCCTCTCATTGTTCGCCATTGCGACTGTGTCTGCGTAACCCCATCTCGAAGTGACCATATATGATCCTTCCCACTTTGGAAACTGTTTGCCTGACCCTGTCGAACATTCGTCCATACTTCGGCCGACACCTTCATATGCTGCTTTCGCCCGACCTCCCAGCAGCGTCTCAAGTAGCAGCTCCATCGCTGGCAGATCTTGAACGCCACTCAACTGCGCAGAAGCCTTGAAGTCCTGCCCGAAGATCCATATGTCTCCATCAAAAACTGCAGGGTATAGGCTTTTCATTTGTCGGTAGGCAGCGACACCAAATGTAACAACAGAAGACAAGGGCCAGGCAACAGATCGTTTTATTATGAAAATCAACACGTATTTATACATCTTTCAACTACATTATTATAGACAAGCGCAGTCATCTGATTGGTTGTTTAGGTAGACAAACGCAGGCTTCTGATTGGTTGTTTCGGGATTCCTTGACAAATAGAGTTCTCTCTGCGAATCATATTTTGCCACGTTAACTTTGCTGTGATTGGTTGTTGACTCAGGCTTGTTCAAAAAAAAAAACGGCCCATATTAGTGACCTAGACCTTAACGTAGATTAGTGCCAACCAATCGGCTAGCAGCCTGCTCTCACCACAATAACACTAGTTTGCGAAATTGTATAAAAATTCATTTTGAGAATTCCATGTTGAGAAGATCAACTGAATAACAAGCCATATGACAAACATATGCCAAAGAAAAACTCATTCCTCACCCACCATATTGTATCAACTTACCTGGTTTTGCAGGTGCAGCAGCTATGATAAAGTGGAATGAGCCATTTTTAATATTTCATTTACAATCATCAATGACATTAAATTAACCACATCAAAAAGTTGTCCATGCATTACATAAAAATTTTTCAGAAACTCTGCACTTTATTACAACAATAAATCCGTAGTATAAATTTCAATAACGCATTAAGAGATTAAAAGATATAATTCGCGAGATGATAACAGATCGTAGATTAATTACAACCGATTTACAACTAACTTGGTTAGCAATGATTAAATAAAGTTCATGACAATTACTCAGTTAAATAAAAAAACAAAAGTACGTACTAATGACCAATCATATTTATTTAGATAGGTCATGTAGTTCATGGTAGGCGAAGATTGAAGTCTATTATCTTTTGTATACACAGTTTAGGCTGTATGCGATTAGTCCAAAGTGCTTCCATCACCTTAATAACCTCGAATTAGTGTTATGTGAACTGATTGTGAAACAGTCATTAATATTGATTTCGTGACCTGACATTAATAAGTGTTTTGCAATGGATGATGCAGGATTTCTATTCTGATTAATCGCATTGGGATTTTCAATATGATTTAGTAGCCATTTTAGAACATGTTCTTTTCGATGACATTGGGACATTCTGTTGATTCTACCTATATTGGTGTCACTACAGCTGCAGGTGAACTTGTAGATACAGTTTGAAGTAGAGTCCACAGAATTTCATCCTTTAATCGTAGGTACAGGGGTGGAAAATGTTCGGCAAGTGAGAAAAAGAGATGCGGCATAGGACGTGCGTTTGACGGCTGATCGAAGTCTTTGAGCTGTCAACTGCATAATTCGGTCACCCTTGAAACACACCAAAGACTTATGGCCGTTATCTTTAGTATGTTGAACTAAATCCACTGTATCTTCAATGATATGGTAAAAAGACCATAAGTTCCATGGAAGAAAAATTAACTAAATTTACTGAAAGACACGGATCATATTTTGGAAATTCCTCAAAATATCCACCAGCGTATAATTAAATTATCATCCCAGAACTCTATCCCAACTACAGTTGGAAGCATTATCGTATGGATTGAAATACAAAGCTATTCTTTTGAAAATAAACAAAATGGAAGTCCTGCCACAATATGTAAACCTCTATGATCAAATCTCTGATTTAACTCATTCTAGTAAAGATAATTTGGACTGGTTTAAAGTTAAACTGGTGGACATTTCTCACCAATTTCTAACTGTTAGAATACACCAGAAAAATGGTTTATCAAAAGAACGCCACGCCGCACTTGAGGAATCAATCGAAAAAGATAATCTTATTATCCTTAAACCTGATAAGGGAGAAGGCGTTGTTATCATGAATAAATCGGATTATCAAAATAAAATGAATGATATCCTCAAAGATCAGTCCAAATTTTCGGTAGACAATGCTAGTGAGAATGTGCTGCTTGTGGAAAAGCAGATCAATCGTCAGCTCCACATTTTACAGATGCATGGTTTTATAAATGAAAAACTTTATAAACAACTTAAAGCAATTGGATCACATACTCCCCGGCTTTATGGCCTTCTGAAGATCCACAAAACTGGGAACCCACTGAGACCCATTTTAGACATGTCGAATTCCCTATACCATAAAATCGCAAAATCGATTATAGAGGTCCTTACGCCTGTAAGAGACTCATTATCAAACCATTCTGTAAAAAGTTCATTTAATCTGACAGATATGCTAGACACCTTGAACATTAAGGAATAGCTTGTGTGTTCAGTCGACATTGAATCTTTATTCACCAATGTTCCTCTTCATGAAACTGTTGATTTTTTTGCGATTACATCACAAGAAATGGGGTAAACTTACCTATTCCAGTCACTTACATCACAGACATCGTCTTAATGTGTACAGAAAATATTAGATTCACGGTCCAAGAAAAGGCATACAAACAAAACGATTGTGTTGCAATGAGGAGCCCTCTTGGGCCCCTTTTAGCAGATAGGTTCATGTTGAAATTGGAGAAACAAATGCAAGGTATGCTTGGAGAATTCATGCTATATAAACGTTATGCAGATTATACACTCATTATTGATACAAGTAGTAAATCTATTGAAAACTTTATTACCCTATTTAATCATATTCATCCAAATATCCGAGTGACTTCCGAACTTGAATCGAATAACGAACTCGGTTTCCTGGATATTACAATGACCAGGAGAGATGATGGAACGATTCAGCGATCTATTTTTCGTATACAGACATGGAATGGAAAATATCTTCATTTTACCAGTTTTGTTACTATCCAGTATAAACGTTCATTATTGAAATGTTTGTTCTCCAGATCCCAAAAATATGCAAGAGTGACACATTGATGGATGAGATTCGGCATATATATTCAGTTTTATTTGCTAATGGTTATCCAGAAATATTCATCAGTTGTCACGTTTAGGATAGACCACATCTCGAAAAGACAGCTTCTGTAACAAAGAAAGCTATTTTTCTTAATTTACTATTCAAAGGTGACCAGATTATGCAGTTGACAGCTCAAAGACTTCGATCAGCCGTCAAACGCACGTCCTATGCCGCATCTCTTTTTCTCACTTGCCGAACATTTTCCACCCCTGTACCTACGATTAAAGGATGAAATTCTGTGGACTCTACTTCAAACTGTATCTACAAGTTCACCTGCAGCTGTAGTGACACCAATATAGGTAGAATCAACAGAATGTTCCAATGTCATCGAAAAGAACATGTTCTAAAATGGCTACTAAATCATATTGAAAATCCCAATGCGATTAATCAGAATAGAAATCCTGCATCATCCATTGCAAAACACTTATTAATGTCAGGTCACAAAATCAATATTAATGACTGTTTCACAATCAGTTCACATAACACTAATTCGAGGTTATTAAGGTGATGGAAGCACTTTGGACTAATCGCATACAGCCTAAACTGTGTATACAAAAGATAATAGACTTCAATCTTCGCCTACCATGAACTACATGACCTATCTAAATAAATATGATTGGTCATTAGTACGTACTTTTGTTTTTTTATTTAACTGAGTAATTGTCATGAACTTTATTTATTCATTGTTAACCAAGTTAGTTGTAAATCGGTTGTAATGAATCTACGAAATTTTATCATCTTCACAATATATTTAATTTTACCTGTTTAACGAAAAAGGTTTTCTTTTATAACCCGGATTACTCTCATTGATTTGTGATATACTACTACTAAATTTATTGGCTGAATTTCGTAACAAATAGATTCTTATGCTTTTGTCAATTCATTCTTTTCAGTTCATATATGTTTTGTGGGATAGTTAAATGACAGTTAAGTTTACCAATATATGCTATTAGGTTTTCCTTTGGTTCAAGTAGATTCAGTGAAGAACTGCTTTTTTCAAGTGGACGAGTACCGTTGAAGAGTCTCAAATTAGGACGAAACAGTTGCCTGGTACTCCCTGGTTCTTAGTGGTTCTTTAACTAACATCGGTCTGTAATCAAACGTGAAACAAATCAAATCGCTACAAACTAACTCTTGAAAAGTATACATAATCTCTCTCTCCGTGGAAAGGTTTCTCATTCCATTATTGTTCTTGCCTTTAGGTTAGTACTGAAACTGTTGTCTGAAAAGATACTGAAATCTTTGCAACTAAACCATCTAACATAGAGAATTTTAATCAACACTAAGACGTATTGACTTGAGCTACAAATCTTGCCCATCATTTTAAAATCTGTTATAAAATGACAGGTTTTGCTTCAATTTTCGTTTGACCAGCATTGTTCTCCTTCTCCACTTGATAGTAATTGATCACGATATGAGTTTATTTAGAGAATCACTGGAAACAAGGAAGTGTTGGGGAGCCGTTTCGTGCTAGTTCGGGACCACACCGATCTGGTATCAGGACCTTGAAGTTCTTTGATGGTTGGGTGGGAGATTGTTGACAATTCAACCACTTTCCGAAAATCCTCATTTGCAGAACTAATTCAGCCAGGAAATATTCACTCTTTAATTAAACTCCATTCGAATGATTCTTTTTAATCTGATCGATGGTATTCTGAACGCTATGCATAATCTACTAACCTAATGATGATGATGATTCTGTTTACAATCAGCTTTCGTGAGTACATTAACATTGTTAAGTAGGTGATTATTAACCTAAGAATTCAGAGTAACAATTAAATAGTAGAAAAAATATTCCCCTAAATAAGTCAAACTATAAATATTCAGTGGAGATTCACCTGTATATGGCAACATTTTTGTTCACCATGCACATCGATGCAGATTAGCATGTGTATAATTATGCAATCACCTTGTCTCTTAACCTAATTAAAAATACCTGAGGTGATCTCCAGCTAGGAGACAATCTGATATTGATGTAACCAATCGTCAGCTATTCTTTTTTATGTCCCTGGCTTTCCAAGTGAGGGACATCAATCCTAAAGCTTTAAGCTTTGAAATTCCATTGGCAGTGACAGAGATGTCTGATTCATATTTCTTCTTTTAGGAAGAACGGGGAAAATGTGAGCAAAGAATATCGTTTTCGATAATCTCTTCTTCTGGCTCTACAATTATTATATATATATATATATATATATATATATATATATATATATATATATATATATAGCATATTTTAGAATAGTCGTCATTAACAATACTGGTGCTTTGTTTTAAATACCATCGATCTGTTAAGACCACAGAGGAATTACTACAGTTCAAGAAAGACGCTTAGGCTATTATAAGCATAAGAATATAATACTTAATATAATATGAAATAAAATTGAAGAGATTTCCACAGCAAACAAAAGACAGTCTCTGAACTAGCTTCTTTTGGATACATAAGTTATGTTTCTTAATATGGATCCCACCAACCTCAGCAATATATAATAGCTAAACTCAAAGAAAATTAAGCTTATTTGGTATACGGCAGATGTCTTTGAAGGCCTTATTTACATCAAATTTTTGTTGTATATCCACAAGATGAGATAGAATAGCGCTATGGATTGATTTTGTCTGTCTTCTACTTAACCACGCTGATACTCATAAATCCAATGATAAACACGCCTAACTCTACGGCCTATAAAATCAACCAGCTCCCTGTGGGAGTAGCCAAACTGTTAAACTCACACGGAAGAGGTGAAATTAGGTAATAGTTCAGCGTAGAGTCTATTTTCGGCGAATTCATTTTCACAGCTTAACAATAGCAAATATATATATATATAAATTATCTTGTATGTGTGTGTGCATTAACTTTGTCAAACGAAAATACAATTAGTAGGTTTTTAGTGGGTTTATGTAATAAGAAAAGTATTTTGAGGAGTTGGATGTTGGAGAAAGGAACTAGTGGCCGCATAAGGAGTGCAATTATCGAATATCTCGTCACCACTGTTCATTTCATCTCAACAAACGCATACTTCAAATTAATCTACAAAGTGAAGAACAACCTGCCGAAAACAATACGTTTCCGTCTTCTTTGTGCTGCAGCAGCCCTACCCATTCACTAAGAAGAACTAAAACTATGCATACAAAGCAAAATTATTCAGCCACTTTTACTATCACGGGAACAATCCTGTTGATCTGACTTAACTTTTGTTTGTTTGTTTTTCTAACTGCTTAAAACTCTTGTATTCCCTTAAAACTCTTGCGTTATTCCGTACTTTATTTTGTTTCCATGTGAACCCTGAGTACAACTTTTTCATCAAATCATTCATGTTATTACGTAACTCTTCTTCTTTGTGACAACTCATCGCTTTCGTTACTACCCTCTTATGTCAACATTCACTTCCTCTGAACGCCCTTTGTATTACGTAACTCCACCAAAAACTGACTAATTGTGTTTTCATTTGACAAAGTTATTACACACAAACACATGCAAAATAACTATATATATATATATATTTGCGATTGTAAAGCTGTGAAAATGAATTCGCCGAAAACAGACTCTTCGCTGAACTACTAGTCTACACCATTTATCCAAAAGAACAAGTTGGTTTGTTCAGGCAGTTACTTTACACCCCCTGGCTATCAAGGTTTTAATGATTCTCAATCGGATGTGGAAATTTCCTTAATTGTATTTGATATTCTATTTACTGTAACATTCTTATGGTTATTACAAATTTATCATCTTTCGGGAACTGCAATTCCATTGATCTGAGTTAACAAATCGACAGCATTTAAAACAAACCACTATCGTTAATTACCGTTACTCTAGAATATTCTATGTATATTAAGTTTTATATGTGTAATTGTAGAACCAGAAGAGGAAATTATCGAAAAGAATATTTTTCTATCATTTTTTTTCTAAATATATGAATGAAAGTTTTCGCTATATTGAAATATCCAGAAGGTAATGGAGATGGATTGGACATACGCTATGGAGACCGTTGAATGGCGTAACGTGCTAAGGCGTGGATTGGACCACGGATAAAGAACAACGAGTTGAGCTGAAGTCAGATGTTGACATAAATTACATAATGTGTAATGGAAATGAAAGCCTGAGGAGAGTCATAGAGCCAGTTGGAAGTGTATTCAGAGAGAAAGAGAGAGAAGGATTACTTTGACTATAATCAAACTTATCTTACCTTTTTTAGGGTGTGGCTCTAAATGAATTCATAAAACGGAAATATTCCTTCGTGAGGAAAATCATTATTCATTATTAATAATTTTATATGGTCTGATAAAGCGTACAGTGTTCACTTTAGGTGTGACCTTAAAATATAAATGAGTGCATAATCTGTTTAGTAAATTATGGACATGAAAGAACTCTTATTATTTATCCTTAACTTTGATTTTCCTATTGGTCGATTAAACAGTCATATTTGACCTCTGTAGACATGTCAGTTGTTTATGCGGATGTCTGAGGATTAAATCTGAATTACTTAGGTCGATAGTAACTAGTAGTGGAATCTAGGATGCGACTTAGTCCTATTTGGAACTCGTCATCTGGATGTATCTGCATTTCCCACTGAATGATGTTATGCCCATTGAAGCTTGAATCTGATACCCATCATTCCAAAGGGGAAATTAAATCAAAAATAAATAATAATTCACACTCGTTGTACAAAGGTGGCTCTCATGGCCCAGTTGGTCTAGCAGGTGACGCTTAGGAGTGTGAAACGATGAGTACTGGGTTTTTTCCTCAATGGGAACACCGTCACTCACTGGGAATTGCAGATATATCCGGATGACCAGTCCCAAATAGAAAAAAAACGAACATCTTCTTTTTCACTGCTAGTTACCACTCACCAAAGTAGCTCAAGAAAAGAACTCAGATGCATACTATAAAACAGTATGTTAACGGAAATAAAGTTTGTTTGTGTTGAATTCGCTGGAATCATGGTGTGCTTTGATTAGTTTGTAGTTCATAAATTGTCTCTAACAAAAGAAATACATAATGACATTAGTCTCCTGTTAGGGTTCTCTGGATGTAATATACAGAATCCTACAGACTGTATGGTGTAATATGTGTAATTTTTACGAAAACGTATACAGTTATCATTACTTAACCTGAAGTTATTCTACCCACCAAACTTAAAGTACGCTTTAATGTATTTTTCAAGTGTTGGCTTGCAGGGATTTGATTGGTTCCAGGATTTCATTATGAAGTGACTTCGGTTAGGGGACCATTGGAAAACCAACAATGGGTACTGGACAGCTGTTTCGTCAGCCTAGTTTGGGACTCTTCATCAGTAAGCACCCACTATAGAGGTTCAAACCCGTGACCTTTTGCTTACAAAGTGAGTTCGTAGATTCTCAATTATTTTGTTCCAAAAGCTGTTACAAAGCAAAACAACTGTAACGATGATAAATGAATAATAACATGGAAAATCTGAGGGAGATGACAAAGAGTGAATGCACTCCACTAATAGTCTCCAACCATTGGTTCTTAGCGCCCCAAAGACCCTAAGCAGGCAGCCTGTGCCTCCCTACATGACTCAAAATTAGCGTCAAAGATTTCATAGACTGATGCCAGGGTCTTACCTAACAATCCCTAACTTTTTTCAAACAGTTTGAATATATAAACAAGTAACCAGCCAGAAATCAGGTGGTTTGAACTGACTCGGCTATCTGAGCTGAGTCAAACCTGGTCCAGCGCCTATGAGCTCGGCCAAAAACAGGTGAAATAGCCTCCCGGTGTTTAGATCACTTCGATTTGGCTAGCAAGCACTACTGGTTGGTGTGAGTGGTATACAACTGCTCATTTTAATCAATGAGTAGTATACAGATTTATGCAAATATGTTTGCTTTTTTGTCAACCATTTTTGATATCAAGCAGATTACATACTGTTATCCGAATGAATTAGTTTTCAAAGGAAGACTGTTGAAACTTTGGACAGATCAGTATATAAAAAGCCTACGTGGAACATCCAGCTGACAACATTTTACAGTTAGCTACCCATCAATCTCAAGCGGAATGTGATAATATCTCTTGTGGCTAAAATCCAAAGAATCTGCAGTAGAAGAAGAGATCACTGTGTTGAGGAATAAACTACTTGAGAATGGCCATTCACCAAGCTTTAAAGGCAAACACCTAAAGCTGAAAATGAGCGAAGAACAACCAATCGCTTTGCCGAAGAAGGTGATATGCATGAGTGTAGTGTTCAGAGGTACCCTACTGGCAGATATCCTAAACAGAAGAATATCTGACGTTCTGAAAAAATTCTCTGCTGCTACATTATAATTGATATTCTCATGCCACCCACTGTTCTTCAACAACTCCAAAGACTAATTATTGCATCTGACCACTTCTGAGTATATTTACCACTTTACTCCGTCATGTGAAGCGAGCGATATATATAGGTCGTTTGATGCATGTTGTATCCAAAAAAAGTCAAAGAACATTATCCCACTTGACTGCGAAAAGGTACCAGTGGATCAATAAGTACTATCACTGAACATATTTTCACTACTGGTCGTCACTCAATATGTAAGAGGAATCCATTCAAAGTCATCTACAAAGTCAAGAGAGGCCTCCTGAAGATGGTTAACTTCCGTATACTTTGCAATGCTGAGTTAAGCTTTAGCGATCCGGATGAAACCTGATTTATGTACACGAAAATTTGAAATAGACGAATAGTCATATTATGAGACCGATTCTCTGGAGCATAAAAAGGTGAAACGAACACAGTTGCTATGTTGGCATGCAGTGAAGTAAGGTGAAATCACTTAAGAGAAGTTATTATCTCCAAAGTAGAATGTAAGCCATAGAGAAGAATGTAAGATGTGTAACACAAATGCTTGGAGTTATTCATATTAGGTTGAAGACAAGATTATGTACTTCAGATGAAAGACAAACATTTTTTCTGCACAAGCAGATAAGGCTCAAATGTTAGTCAGTTTTCAGTAACTTCACTGCTAATATAAAAAAAGATAAATACTCAAATGATATTTATTTTCTACTTGTCACCATTAGTTTCTCTTCCCTTTCTGATTGAAATTGTAGTAATTAAAAATATCAAAAGGGGAACCACATAACTTACTTGGATTTGGTGCAGCCGAAACTACAGAGTTATTAGAAATATATCCAGTAGATAAAATCAAAAATGTAAGGACTGTATATGTTGAATCGTATCAATATATAAATACAAATATCTAATTATAGGCGAAAAATTGTCAAAGTATTGAAATTCTCACACACACAGTTATGTGAACATAGCAATGAACACCGTTGCTACAATTAACGTCGTTGTTAGAATATGTTCTAAACAAAATCTTTATGTATAAAATTACGAGAAGCTAAACTAAACTGGATGTTTCTATTAAGGTTTCTAATATCGGATTATCTTGTTTCCATAGGCTGAATAGATTTTCTTCGAACTGTATCAAGACTATGTAGCGAAATATATCTTATTCACAATAAAGCAAATTTTCAGTTCTATACTTCTGAAGACAATTGGCAAAACCTCATCTAAAGAACTATTACTAAAGATTGATATAGTCAACAAATGACATCACAAAAATAATTATTCAGTCCTTGGTTTGCAGGTATTTTTGCCTGGTTCCAGGATATCATCATGAACTGACATCGGTTAGGGGACCATTGGAAAACCAACCGGGGGGTACTGGACAGCTGTTTCGTCAGCCTAGTTTGGGACTCTTCATCAGTAAGCACTCACTACAGAGGTTCAAACTCGTGACATGCTTGCTGTACCCCAGTGATTCTAGCTGGAAGTCGTGATCAATCCCATACTAGGGTGAAACAGCTGTCCAGTACTCCCAGATTTTCCAATGATCCTCTAACCGATATTAGTTTGCGATGAAATGCTGTTACAATAACTAGTCAATATCAAAATGTCAGGGGGCTGATAATGACCAAAAACATCAATACAAACAACTAAAGGGTAGAAATATTTGTGCACAACAAAAAGGGGATTACACAAATAAATATTTCTTCGACCATTTCTTTCGTCTTCGGTACTACATTTGAATGCACAAAATCTCCAATAAAGTCAAATCAACCTCGAAAACTATTTTCTCAAATTTTTTTAAACAGACTGACTCAGGGAAAAACTTCATATTCTCATATCCACATGGATCAGACATCAATACTCTAGTAACTAAAAGTCAGCTACCTCTGAAACCAAAAACCAACTTTCAAATTGTTACTAAGCCCATTATTATTTTCATTGTTGTTTTAAATTTCATTTATGCAACCTTCCCGGTCGATGCCAATTATAAACACGGAAGAGAAGGTTGTGCCTGAGATTAGCAATATAACCACTACTAAAACTATAAAGCTTAAAGCTTAAGACCTGAAATTCAATGGAAGCAATTTTTTGAATTCTTCTGAATCCAATCTTGTCAAAAAGAAGCCAAAAATATTAACATCGAATTATGCTTTTCAATGTTTACTTTCGTCAACACTGTGATTAGAAATAATATCATCATAAAGTTATTTATTTAATCAGAAGTTCCCCTCAAATGAAAGATGAATAACAAAAACTGACACTGTTTTAACATGTTAGTATTTCTAATAACTAAAAAAATTTCTTCACCAAAAATGTTAAACAAATAGCTCACCACGATGGGGTCCACCTTAAATTCGCCAGTAAATAAGTTCATGTTTTAATTAGTTTTAAACTAACGTATATTACAATGACAGTTTGACAGGTTAACAAAAGTGTTGTCAACTAGCCTGCCTCACACCGTCAAGATAAAACAAGGCTGATAATAGACCAGTTTACTCAAGCTACAATAAACAATAAGATGTGCTGATGGTCAGGCTATTTCAGCATGCAGACTACCACTACCACTACTTCTAATGTGATGGATGATAAACAATGGCAAATTGTAAATCTAGAACTTGTACCTCAAATGACTACTATTTCACATTCTGAAGTCACCTAGGTTTTAACCATAATCCTAACTGTCACATCAGTGTTAGTAAATTTGTTGATACCAATCTACTTCTTGTGTAATAGTTTTACTTAGAAATAGTTAAATACATTTCATTCATAAACTTCATTACTTGAAAACCAAGATATTGCGAAAAAGTACATGTTCTGCAATAAAATCACTTGAGATTTTATATTCTGAGATATTTTATTTCTCTATAACATAACCATACACATAAACTGATATTTGTTTCCATATTAACAAACGGGTCAACAGGACATGAGTGTTTGAAAGCAGCATCATAGATTAATTTTGAAATAATATAAGAATTTAGAAGAAAATTAACAGTGTGAAAGAAAATGATCTTTATTATTACTATTATTGTACTTTTCTTGTTCTCTGAAGTTTCTTCAGCTATTGGACTGATTATCCAGGGTAGGATCACTAACCTAACGACAAACCTTCGCTCTTTCTTTGGATATGGAACAGGCTAGTAAACTAGGCGAGGTTGGAAGAGGGACATCCGAGTCACATACACATGCTGAGAAGACTATCGGGTGAAATCACGTGTCAGGCATATCCTTAAATGGAAGCCTAATGGGAAACAATAGTTGGGTGTCCAAGGTTAACATAAAAGAAATCTTGTAAGGAGGAGATGATAGTTTATGAGCCATCTTGGGATCAGCTGTAGAGGACTGCAGAGTACAGGAAAACATGCAAATGTGTTACTGAAGCCTGATTCTCCCCTCATAACTTGAGGGTATACTGCTAAGTGGAATTTAACTGACTACGTAGGTTTTGATAGGACTAGATCAAGCAAACTCTGTGTATTATAACCGACCTGATGACCGGATAGTAAACTACTGAACCGCCAAACGAGGAGAATTAGCTTAGTCTTTATTTCATCCCTTATTCAACTATCCGTTAAACGAAATGTGAATATAAAAATGAAACAAAATATAACTGACTGGTGAAACTAATTGTGCATTGGTGACACAGCGGCAGAATACTTGACAACTGCGCATATAGTTTCTGCTACCGAAACTTCAAGCCTCTGGTTTGAAGCCCTATTTCTCACCAGGAACGTAAGGCAATAAAATAATAATAACAAGTGAACTTACTGCTAATTTCAGCCAAAAATAGGCATACAAATAAAGCGACAAATGTGATTGTATTCATTATTTTACTAATATAGGAAGGAAGGCTTTATTTGTGTATAGGTAAATTCACCAGCTCTAACAGACTGATAATAGAATGGATTAAAAATAATTTATATTTATTACAAAATTATCTGTGTAAATAAAAACTAGTTTACTTTGAAATTATTTCATAAATGTCTCATTTTGTTTTAATTGTATGCATGATCAAGTTTCAATAAAATATTGGAAGTTAAACAACAATAACAACAACTGAAGCTTTGATTGTAGAGACTGGAATTCTATCATTTGTTTGTTTTCTTCTATTTTCGGTGCATAGACGTAAAATGTAAACGGATTGCATTTCATAATTCAACTATTTGTGCTAAATAAACACAAATATGCTATTTCTAGTAGATGATTGTGTAAACAAAAGAAAATTTCTGCAGTGTCAAATATTTAATATTTGAGTTAGATTTCTCACCAATATTTTAATTCATCAAAGATTTGAAGTATTTCGGTGGATGGTGACTAACGGAATGTTGTCTCCGACCTGTTTGAGAATCGTCAGTTTGATGTACCTTGATTCTCCACTAAAACTCCAATCCTGTGCTCGTCACTTCAAATGCCCCAGCGTTACTCATTATACCACTTGATCCACAAGAGTCGCCTTTTGTTGAAGTGAACTTTTGACTTTTGAGTTAAGTGACTGGACCGAAACGTTCGGTCTCTATTGACATGCACATCCTGGATGATTTTCATTGCTAGTCATATTCAACTAAATTAATTCAAGTTAATCCGAAGACATTATTGAAGTGCCTTTAGTAGAAGCCAGCATATCAACAGATGCTGTGCATTTCGGTTTCATCGATCAACAGGAAAATTAAAAATTCACTTAAACAAATATTATCAAAATAATGTTATATTTTGTATTGAATAGTCAAATCTTTTCAGCGCTCAAGTAAAATACATCTTCTCTGCATTTTTCACAAACATTTCTTCTAAATCGAAAGTCAAACCATCCAAGCATACGTGTGACTCAAAATTCTCAGCTCATTGAATCTCTACTGTATTCCTCCTTCACAGATTTATAAACCCTTCAGTTGTTTAGTAATATTGAGGTACATACTCGAAGTGTTTCGTCATTTACAAAGAAGTATAAAATACTAATTCAGATTACAAGGACAAAAAGTAACATATTGCTCTTTGTGTTACTAGCCTAGATGAACTGTCTACGTTGTTTATTTGTAGTAATAATAATCATATATTCAAGAGTCAGTCAGTAGGAATTTGATTTCACGAATAATTCCCATTCTGACATGAATGAAAAACAAAACACGTAGTTCAGTGAATAGTCTCTTTACGGAAGCGAATTCATTCACTTAAATGGTCAATCGAAGTTATAAATACTTACTTCGTATGTGTGTGTGAATTAGGTTTGTCCGATAAGAATAAAAATAAGTTAGGATTACTTTTGTCAAGATATTTCAAAAATGTGATGAACAATCAAATTGTAACTATGGCATGGGGGTGGGGGTAAAGATTGCTAAGAAGGAAGGCGTGATGCACTGTCAAGAAAGCATAGTTATTAATGTTAATCAGCACATAAGAGCAATACAATTGCTAATAGGATGAACAGTTTAATGACTGAGTTGTGGTTAGGATGCATATAGGAACAAAGGAAAATATGGAATTATGAAAAAGCTCAAAAAATTACGAATTTATGAGGAGGTAGATAAAACAAGCAAACATACACTTTGTCAGAAGTCAACATGGTTGTTACAATGATAGTACAAGTGCTCGGATGATTTTCTTTCGTCAAAAAGAAACTCTTCGCAGAATTTTGATTCGTTCCAAGTATGATCACGGATTGATTTTAGTCACAGAACCCTTGAAAACCAGGAGTAATAGACAGTTGTTTTGCCATAGTTTCGGACTCTTCGTCAATACGGACACACTGCCAGGGTTCCAGCCCAGGACCTTCTGGTTACAAGGTCACCTAGTAGACCATGGTGAGTGCCTACTGATGATGAGTCCAAAACTAGAGAGAAACAGCTGACTAGTACTTCCCTGTTTTAAGTGGTTTTCTGATCAACATCAATCCCTGACCAAACTTGAAACAAATCAAACCCCTACACACTAACCCTTGAAAAGTAACATGATACCCGCCAATGAGTGGCTACAGAAGGATTTGTCTGGTGTGCTAGTGTGAAATCGTGACAAGTGGTATCCTCTATATCGGTCGTTAGGACAAATACTCACTGATGACATTGTCTTATGGTTGCACTGAAGACACGAATTGATAGAAACAGAAATTCATGAGTTGCTTGATTGGGTTCCCTGTGGCTGGATGATCCACAAGCTTGACTTGTAACCAGAAGGTCTCAGGTTCGGAGGCTGTTAGTTGCATAATGGCAATGAGTCCCGGACTGGGGCAAAGCGGTTGTCTGGTTAGTATTCCTCTTTTTTAATGGCTCTTCAACTGATATCAGTCCATGATCAAACTTGAAACAATCTTATTATCCTTTTTTGCGATTGGCAGAGTTCAATGAATGTATATCCAGTATGCAAATATATCACTTTTGATTTCTTCATCCCTAATTATTTAGATGCATTTTTTAAAAAATATATGCATAAAACACTTACGTGTTCTGAATTCATGTTAGGAGGATGGAGACAAGACGAATCTGCAACCTTTAAGGGAGTGATTAACTAATGGGGATACAAACTCGAGTCCACCACTGCTGAAGCTAGATGAAGGAGCAACTCCAAGCATCCTACTGGTTGCCTTCAATTACCTAACATCACTTCAAAATGAACTGCTATGATGAGTCACCTTTTTTGACGACCACAGTAAAAATTCCATTGACAGAATTCAGCCAGCACCAACGTCACGGGATCGATACATGGCACTGACTAATTCCTAGTAACGTATTATTTATGCATAATGCCATTGAAAATTTGTTTCTATAATACAGCGAAGATATTTTATCTACAAGGGAAACAGTAAGTACAATTCAATCTGAACGAAGAATATTCTTTTCAATAATTTCTCCTCAGGTTCTTACAATTATGAAACATAATATTTATTATCGTTACAATAAAGGCCAATTATGCGATGGATACATTTTTAACATAGAATAAAAGATTAGTTATGGGGTGTCAAAATAAATAGTCATATTTGTGTGACAAACGTGCTAGGCTGAAATCGATTACCAAAATATTGTAAAACGGAAGATAATGGTGGCGATTAATCATAATAGATTTGTAGAGTGTGGGTAAGAAAATTGACAAGTCAGTTCGAGATTATAAAAGGTGTCAGGTGAGTGGCTAGTACAAAGTGGTCTGTGTTAAACAGGAGATAGTAAGACTACAATAAGAGGTTCATAATGAAAAAGCGAATATGTGAAATGAAACAGGTGGAAGCATATATTGAGAAAAGAGATAATATCACTAATAATACGTCCGGATAGCATAAATGAAAAATTCGATAGTATTGAGGGAATGTTTGCATGAAGGGCATAAAATATGACGAATAATAATAATTGTAATAATAAGCAAAGGAAAAAACCAAGAGAGTTAAGGGAATGAGCATTCTTGTTGAGAAGAAGAATCATCAATCCAAGTTTGGCCTCGGTAGGAACTGCGTCTGGAGGTGTTCTTTTTGGATACAAAGTTCCGGTTTAGTCGATCTTATTGCAACAGCTTCAGCTATGTGTAGCAGACGTGAGCAATCTGTATGTAATAACGACTTCGGAATTCGGTATATAACCCTGAAAGCTGTGTTGACATTGATACGATGTCCAGTATCGACCAAGTGTGACAGGATCGAGGCTTTTATGCACTTAATTTCCCCTCTGCTGAAACAAACTGCAGAATGTTCTCGAACCCGTAGACGAACCTGCCTAACCTATATAACTTGAACCACAGGAACAGTTGAAATGGTATATGCATGAAGAAGAGCTAAGGTTAGGTAAGACATCTTTGAGTTGCTGGATGAACATTGTACAGCTGCTGAAGGATAGACACAGACGTGCAGAGTAGAAAGTTGTCTTCATTGCCCTGGTTAAACGTTTCGGTAGAATCTCTGCAGGACTATCTCCCTTGAATTGGAGACATTAAAACAGAGGCTTTTTCTCCACCGTTGCCAGTTCATGTTCACGACTATTGTAACCTATGTTGGCTTTATTGAGCACTAATTAATCCCTAACTCCCTACAAGAATTTAATGCACCTTTTATCATTTCCGACTGGCTATAGCAGACTCTCATCAACATATAAATTCTCTCCATAGTGAGTATCACATTGCCAACCAGAAATGATAAGCAACAAAGTACTCTGGTAATGAACCAACCGGGATTCTCTCGTCCTAGAAATATGCCAGAGGAAATGGAAACCGATATGACATACTCAAAATGGAAATCGAATGGGAAACGTCGAGTTGGGCTGAAGTGCGAATGTGACGTGCAGAATATTGTGTGCGGTAGAGATGAAAGCTTACAGGCAATCGTTGAGCCAGCTAATAATGGCTGTAGAGAGCAAGTTGAAGTGAAATTGTGCTGTTTAAGCCCTTTATTTTACTCGGAACCAAGAGAAATAATAATGATGTAGCATCTTTAGAACAAACCTTCAATAATATTAGAAAGAATCAGTCAATTGAATAAAGTGTAGAGACTATCATCATTTAAACAGAGTATTCGTAAAACATTCATAATCGGATCGATTTGAAGGTTTAGTGTCACAGAAAGGCAAGTTATTTCGTTTTTAAAAAGGATATATTACAGACTCATGTAGGCAGTTATATCACATGGAGAGGAGATAAAAGGGTCCTCAGCAAAGGTGGGAGATTTTCTGTGAACTCCTTTTTATAGTCTTAAAGTTAAAATTCTATGCAAAAAATGTAGTCATCAGTACCTAAACACTGAGCCAAACAAGTGACTTATGTTGACTAAGAAACACTATAAAGAACATAGAATACTGATAAAATATAAAACGATGTTCGTTCAAACTGATAAATCTGCGGGTGTTGCATCATTTAGAAAATATCGAAAGCTGCATTACTTTTACTGTAAGCCATTAAACCATGTTCTTGTTCCATTCATGCTTTTGGAACTGTGCAGGATATGTGGAGAATAATGTCTGAATTTAAAGATCCCAGAATCTCAATACTGACCACGTGTATTGTTCATCTGTATAAAGGCAAAAGACTCTTCTGATCC